GCAGTCCAACGCCTTAACCTCTCGGCCACCTCGTCATATGCGACCTTGGGAGCCAAATGCTGCATTCGTGCACCGCTTGTTTTGCCAGCAAGCAGTGAAGCAGAGCAGAAGGTTCTTAGCGATGAAGATTGCCCGCAGGAAAAGAGATTTTTTATTAAATATTAAAAAAAAATCGTTTATATTTATTTGTATATTATAGCAAAATGTTTGATGGCGAAAAGAATGTGTTGACTCAGAACTTTATCTCTTATTTATTTACCTTGAATTATTAATATTAAAATTTTATGGTTAGCATAAATATGCTTACGGTAAATACCGTAACTACTTTTTACAACTTTTTCCCAATCTCTTATTTAATAAAAATAAATAAATAAAACAACTAAATAACTAATTCTAATGCTTGGCACTGCTTGGTGTCGATAACAACGTTCTCCTTGGCTTCGCTCATAACTAGTGTGGTGTTGGACTAAGGCGCATCACCGGACGAGGTGGCCGAGTGGTTAAGGCGTTGGACTGCTAATCCAATGTGCTCTGCACGCGTGGGTTCGAATCCCATCCTCGTCGAACAAACTTTTTGTTTTTTTTTTGTATTATTTTCTAATGAAAAATTATATTTTATTTATTATTAATTTGTATTGTACCATGCGAACTACTATTCCATTTGCTTATAAAGAAAGTTAGTTAAGACATGAGATTCTTGAGAATTTTTTTACTTATTATAATAAAATTAAATCAGGACCTTTTCAGATGATAATATTTTACGAGGGTATGTTTCGCAACCCTTACTTCAAAAAACGTTCGGAAGCGAATTATTTTATGAGGACGAGGTGGCCGAGAGGTTAAGGCGTTGGACTGCTAATCCAATGTGCTCTGCACGCGTGGGTTCGAATCCCATCCTCGTCGACGAACCTTTTTTTTTTAATTAATATCCTTTTTTGGTGGAAAATGTTCCCCAGATCAAAATAGTTTTTAAAATATGATTTGGGGGTTTATTTTATAAATTAAATTCTATAAACTATGAAATCAACCCTAATTCTTAATAAAAGTAGAAATAAGTTTTAACAAAATAATAATACTATTAAGACAAAAAATCGTCTTTCGACGAGGATGGGATTCGAACCCACGCGTGCAGAGCACATTGGATTAGCAGTCCAACGCCTTAACCTCTCGGCCACCTCGTCACTGGTCTCTGGCCAATTAAAACCCAGTCTGGGAAAAAGAGATTCGAATTCCCGCTCTTATCAAAGAACCCTAGAGAGCTACAACTGATACTAATTGAAGTATCGACAGATAGTACAGACACTATAGTGATAAGCAAGTATTTCATTCAGGGCAGCACGCTGTGCGGAAGTATTCACTGAACGGCTGTTTGCAACGCTCAAACAATTGAGCGTTAATTGTGTCAATGGAATTGGCAATAAATAAATAATAACAATTAAGCTTTTAAAGATTTGCGTGTTTGCATGGGTTCTTCAGTTGTTTGCATTTAAAGAAAGTAGCTGAGTGCGGCGGCACGCGTGGGGGCGATACCTTAAGTGAAGCTTAGGGTTTTTCAAATGCTTGGAGAGAGGGTATTTGAGGCTGCGGCGGAATCCTTTCAGTTGGTAAATATAGCTACCGTCGAAATAGGGTACTTCTTTGTCTGTATTCAAGCATTTCAAGCGCGCTCAGTCCTAATATTCGCCAAGTAATTTGTGTACTTAGCCGGTCTGGAGGAGGGCGACTTCCTGAGGGGTTCGCTCGGTTCTCAATAATTCAGATTCTCGGCCGGCGGTGGCGGTCGTGCCGCTTGTGACCCAGTTCCCTGTTGATCTTCTGTCTTGGCTTCGATTTCTTTTTATATCTTCCTCTGTTTTGGTGTAAAAAACAAAAGTGGTTTACTTTAGATGGGCCATGCTCGAGCGAGTGTATCGGGGGCCGAGCGATGCTGATGATGTCGATGATGCTGATGATTTAATACGAGTGCTTCTGGCTTTTAAATGCGAGTAAGTAAGTAGTAATGGCCATAAGCACCACCACTGGCCTAGCCTAGCATCCGTCGTAGTGGCAGCAGAAACTGCGGCATTTTGTTTGGGCCATGTTTGTGTCCAGGCTGTCAGTTGGTGTTAATGAACCCTTGTAGCCTGATAGCTGTTAGTTGTTTACGTTCCGAATGCCGATACGACGATAGCACTGCCGATCCAACACTGAGCGAATCGAGGGAGAAGCATTATAAAGAATAATTCAAAATCTAATATATAAATATATTCTAACAAGAAAGAAAGCTAACTTTGGCCAGCCAAAAATGCATTAATTCCGATCCGGAAAGCAGTTTTGTGTTAGTTTTTATTAATTTAAAAAAACTGCATACCAAATTTAAAATTTTAAGAAATCAAAAGTTTTGGTCATTTTTGCTAATTTTAATGATGTAACCCCTTATCAAATTTCGCAAAAATGGTCAAAAAATCGATTTCTTCCGGACATGTCTAGAAAGATTCCCCTGTTGATGCTGATCAAGAATATATATGGTTTATGGGGTCGAAAATGATTCCTTGACTTAAAAAATATTATTTTGTATTATAAAATCGGATTTTTTATATTAAAAAACTTTTTGATTTTTTTTTTTAATTAAAAATATCGTAACTCGGCCAAAAGAGCATTAATTTTAAATCGGAAAACTGTTCTGTGCAAGATTTTCTACAGTTAATAAATCTGCATACTTCATTTAAAAATTTTGAAAATTCAATTTTTTATCAAAATCAAACATTTTAATGATCAAGAATATATACAGTTTATGGGGTCGGAAACGTCTCCTTCACTGCGTTACAAACTTCTGACTACAATTATAATACCCTGCAAGGGTATAAAAATATATAAGATACTATATATATATATTTATTAAATTGTAACAATAACCAATTAATTCTTTAATGAAATCTAGGGCTGCCTCCAAATTTCGATGAACTAGATTTTAATAAAGTTTTTTTGGCAGTGTATCCGCCACGTTGTCACCTAACGTGGCCAAGTTTGATGATCCGCAGGCACGCGCGTTTTATATTTAGCCCCACACCAGGGCGACTCCTGCCCCTTTTGGTCGCCGATCAGCGATCCTCGCGGCTCCGGAGCGGGGCTAGTCACGTGCACAAGGACATTCCAATTCCAAGGCTAATTACGTGTGGCATGGGGCTTGGCCAGGCTGGGCCTGGCTTGGGCTTGGTGTAATACACACACATACAACACGAACCGTTCATTATTGTCGTCGCTTGTTCTTGCTGCCGCCGCAATCTGCGGCATGTATCTGTATCTTTTGCATCTGCGTGGATGTCGCTGAAGTTGCAGTTGCTACTACTGCTGCTGCAGCCGCTTAATTAGCTGCGTAATTTATTATTGCTCTAATCTCAACGCCGGCGCCAACGCCGCTGGCTTTGACAAATAAACAAATTATTCATATTAGAATATTAATAATGCCCGGCAGCGGCATCAGGAGGAGGCTTTATCGGCCCATCTGTGGCGCTGTGTCTGCCATAATTATGACCTGTTTGACAGATGGCTCTCGGAAGGAGCCCGGGAGCCTTGACTGGCGTTACTCACGGGGTGATCGTTATGCGGACAATAAAGATGCACACACTAAATATGTAGGCACGCCGATGCAATCGCACAATTATGCCCAATTATGCAACTGGGAAGAGATCTTTAGATCAGTGGATCTGCAGGAGCAGCAGGTGCTGGGTACTGGGTGCTAGATGGAATGCCAGGCGGATATCATTGACTAATGAGCCCATCTCCGACTCCATCTGGGACTCTCTGACTCGTCGCGTTCTTTTGCGCTGTCATAAAAATTAAAATGCATAATCGCGGGCGTTCCTCGGAGGGCACGGCTCTAGCTCGGGCTCCCTTGTTACCTGGGTCTTGGCATCCGTATGTATTCCAAAGGTAATTAACATTGCTCGCGATTACCACAAGCAATTGCATGTGCATGTCCATGTCCATGTCCATGCCGACAATGTGATATTGCCACTTGCAGATGTTGCTGGGTTCGCAGCTCAGGCTAATTAAGCCAGAGAGTTTAAGCCGCCAGCAATTAGCCGATTTATCACTTGCCACAGAACCACCAAATCATGGCCCTCAGATCGCTGAGAACTTGGAAGCAGCTTGGCAAATGCAAACAAACTTGCGGCCAAACGCTTTGCGCACTTAACTTCTGCGCAGGCGCAGCGCCACCGCGGCGCGTCGTCAGCGTCGACAGAGAGCCACTCAGCCGCTGAGCCACTGAGCCACTGGGAATGCGCAGATTCTGGCCAGGTCCGGCCCATATATAAAGCACCTATTCTGGCCGCGATCACACTCATTTCCAGTTGAACGCGCCTTCTGAGCAGTGGCATTCCGAACCAGGACTCTGATCCCATTAAGTAATCATCGATCTCAGCCCTATTTGCTGTGAGCAAGGTAAGGAGAAAGTGTTCTGGCTGAAAGTGACAAGGCAGGAAAGGTGTGGAAAATAAAGATTTAGGAAATTAATGTAGACGTTTCCGCAAATATTTGAAAGTTCGGAAATTATAGAAGAAAATAGCTTAACTCTTGCTACTAAATTAAAGAATTTGATAATCCCAGGGTATTTCTAGATAAGCAGTGCTTCATTAAGAATTCGTTGTATCTGAGTTTATTAATTAATTGAATGACCTCAAACAGCAAAACATAAAATAAATAGACTAAAAAGTATAAAAGAAATTTAATTGCTACCTTATACTAAGAAAAAAACGTAGGCTTTACATTTACCAAACAATATACGATATAGACAGTAGCCTCTGTTCAGTCCAAGAGCTAGTTTCCCCGCCCCGATCTTAGCCAGCCGTGTTAGTCCCAGGTTTCCGATGTTTACACTTCTGGGAAAAATCCGCTCATTGCGCAACTGGAGTGTGCGAAACTAGCTCGAGGCATGCAAATCAGCTTCACTGGTTTGGGGTCAGCCGTAGATCAGCAGAAGATTCACAATGATCACTTTGCAGTTACCGACACTGGAGATGGGCAAGCAGCACATTTGGAGCGTTTTTCTTGGCCTGCTGCTGCTGGAGCAGTTGGTGGCCGGGACGAAGGCAGCCAATCTGGCGCAGCTGGTTAAGAAACAGAGTCAGCAAAAGCAGGGGCAACCAGTTCTCCAACTGCATCCACAGCAGCAGCAGCAACAACAGCAGCAGCAGGCTGGACAGCAGATCCATGCCCAGCAGTATGTCCAGGATAGCATGGCTGAGCAGCAGGATCTGAAGGCGGAGGAGGAGGAAGACCACGATCCCTATCAACTGCTGCAGGATGCAAAGCAGGAGTCCAGGCTACCCAGTTCCGCCAACTATCCCTGGAGTTCGTATGCCGCTTCTCAGGGGATTCCCCCAAATCCCTACGAGGCCATGCCCAAGATGCTGCCCTTTATAGGGTACGCCCAGCCGGTGCTCATCCCATTTCCCCTTTACCTGGCTCCGGATATGTTCTATCCCGCCTTTTCCGGTGCCAGCAATGACCTCGAGGACGTGGTGATGTCGAGAGCAGCAGGTGGACGTCGTCCGGCCGCTAGTCATTCGTCGCCCGCCCGCAATTCACCCATTTACTACGTCCGGCTGCCGCCAACTCCGTACATGTTTGTGCCTAATATGCCGACGGCACCCTTTGGCGGAGGATTCTCCCCGCTCCTAACCTACCAGCCCATGCCCTCGTTCTCTGCCTACGGATCTGTGTTTAACCTGCCTGTGAACTTCCTGGCCAACGGCAAGCCTACAGGCATCTACCAGGTTGATGGATCCCCGTCAGAGGGTCTGGGATCACTGGGATCATCTGGCAGCTTGGGCAGCGGTACATTTGGATTGCGACCTCCCACACCCAGCAATCCATTCAGGCCCATGTCGTCGCCTTCGGTCGGCGGCTATGGGAATTCACCGCAGAGCTTCGGTCTCGCCTCGATGCCGGTGCCGCAGCAGGACTCCAAGCTGACCTCCCTGAAGAGGCCCTTTGTGTTCAACGGTCGTCCTGAGGACATCTACATCCTGCCCAACAACCTGAGTCCCTGGAACAACGAACCGAGCTACTACTGAGAGCGCCGACTGCCCATGACTGTGGCACCAACTAAAAAGTATTAAAGATCGCATTTACTAGATCTTAGACTAAGGTATTGATGCTTGGAAATAATCGTAAAATAAATATGTGTGAGTCTCTGGTAACTTGAAACTTGTGCTTTTGCTTACTGGAACCATAAATCAGTCAGAAAAAATGGTATACTATTATATTATACTATAAATAAATACCATTAAAGAATAAATTGTATATTTTTGGCCAAAAATATCTGATGGGTTAATAATAAATTAATGTTACAATATCCTTAACAGTCATGCCCCCCTGACCTCAAACAGCAGAGGCAACATAACTTTGTTACAGGGGAAGACTATAATACACTGTACTATATGTTTATGTTGTAAGTCCTAGTCAAACGGAGTGTCCCGCTATCAGTCACCGATGGCCGCCACCTGGGCTGTTTTCCGACGTATATACTCCGGATCTCCCAGGTTTATAGCGGCACCAACCAAGCCTCCCGTATTCAAGTCAAACTCGTAGACGCGTGGAACGCAGTTTGGAATGTTGACCTTTTCAATGCCCTCATTCGAGATGCCTGTATAGGATAGTTAAGAAATAATATTAGTTAATATTAATATAATTAATTAATGATCATTTTAAAGATACTTTATATAGATCAAGTTTTATTTCCTAAACCAACTCACCTTCGATATGCTGGACAAGAGCCCGGGCCACTGTTCCATGGACACACATCAGCACTCGAGAGCCTTTCAGCACCTCCTGCTTGACCTCAGTCCAGACGGGTTTCACCCGGTCAACGCACATGTGCAGGGACTCTGAAAACGGAAACTGACCAGGTGGAATCACGTCGTAAATAGGGTTGCTCCAAATGGTGTAGTAGTAGCGGTTGTTTTCCTCAATGGGCGGTGGGATGCCATCATAGCCACGCCGCCATTCCTGCACCTGGTCCTCTCCATGCTGATTGGCTATGTCCCGTTTGTTGTGACCGGTCAGGTTGCCGTAATGTCGCTCACATAGACGCCAGTCCTCCTTGATGGGCACATAGGCACAGTTGGTTTTGCTTAGGATCAGTTCGGCGGTCTGGCGGGATCTGCTCAGTACCGAAGTGTAGACGACATCGAACTCCAGCTGCGACTGAAGGATGGCAGGAATGGCCACCGTCAGAGCCTCTTGGATGCCTAGGTAAGTGGGAGGGAGGAGATCACATGAAGATCACATGGAGATCACTTGGAGAACAACCAAGATCTCACCGAACTCGCTTAATGGGGCATCGTGCCAGCCGCAGAACTTGTTCTCTATGTTGAAAGTGCTTTCGCCATGCCGCAACACCACCAAGCGATTCGTCTTCGTCATGAATTGGGATCTGCAAGTAGGGAAAAAGTCTGTGAAATCCTAGTTGGGTTTTAGTCTAATTAATATGGGTGTTCTACTTTATACAGAATGTTTTTTGGGTTGGTGTTTTTGAGAACCCAACATTTTGACAGGGCTAAAATGGAGCTTTCTTTCGCAACTTTCCGTACGTTAACCCACTGTACACTCCGCGTTCTCTAATGCAGTGGCTCTTTGGGTTTATCGGCACGCTGGCATTGTTTATCCAGCGGTTTACGGCAGGGCTTAACCGCCAGATAAGCACAGGCGGCGACGGGGGGTGGAAAAGTGCAATCAACGGTACCTCATGGCAGAGTTCGGTGACTGGCCGACGTGGACGAAAGTGTGTGCTCACCTCGACGCCGTCCGGATGCGATTGAAGCGCGGTCCAGCTGCGGACTCGCTCGAACCTCCAAACCACCGAGCCGTCGAACCTACGAAACTCCGAATGAACCGAAAAATGCGCCGCGCATTCCGCACATATTTTCGGCTAGTGTATCTGATAGATACAAGCGCGGCGAGGCAAAAGCGCGCGCGCTCTCGACCAACATGACGGGACAAAACAAAATATAATTCGCATTATCTGATGTCCAGACGGCAGCATAATCACACGCACACCACCGCTCCGCCAAGAGCCACTCATTCTCATTCACACACAGATACTCCGCGGCGCGTTGTTCGGTTGTTCGGCGTTTTGCGTTATGTGTTTTGCTCGCCCCATTCTCTGTTTGTATCTCAATCCGCACACGAGTCTGGTTCCCAGATTCTTGCATGTGGCTCGGATGTCGAGCCGTGTCCGCGCCTAATGCCCCCGCCCGCCACGACTGCCTCGATTGCCTTGACCGCCCCTCCCGCACATTCCGCCGCATCCACCAAGTATTCATATATCGGCCAGAGATACGAGATTCAGATACTTCCTAGACGTAAACAACCGACCGCCCACACACCCGATGCCGCCGATACTTACGCCTGAGATTCGCGCATTGTTTGTGTCGCTCGGCGTTTGTGTTTTTGTCAAAGTATCTCGTTTTTCGTGGGCTACTTCTAAGCTGACGATCTGTCGCCGGGCATAGATACGTTACAGTTTGCTCTTCAGCAACTTGAAGAAGACCATGCCGCCCGCCGAGTTCCTGCTCTTCCTGCCTATCCGAGATGCTGTCGCTGTCGCTGCCGCCTTGCTCCGATCCGTTTCGTTCCTGTATCTTTCGGATGCCACCTCGCACTAAGCCCGATTCTTGTTGGCAAAACAATTATATCGCGTCGCAGTTGTTTCGACGCTTCGACGTCAACAGCTGATTGCTTGGTTTTACGCTCAATTTGGGATCGGGACTGGGGAAAATCAATATTAACTGAAATTTTTGTGCCTGCCGTTGTTGTTGTGCAATAACACTGAGTTAAAATGAACTGTCAACTAAACACACTTGTATTCTTCGAGCCGCACATTAAAGATTCATTGCGTTTTTACTTTGATTTTGGGTATTTAGTATCCACAAAATGTCATTAGTGACCTGTAGCTAAGCTGGAAAATAACTGACAAGCATGGGAAATTAAGATTTTGCAATATTTTTACCTCGAAAATAATTCGTTTTTGTGCTTAATTAGGAATAATATAAATTAAAGTGTCAAGTCAAAGCGTTTCCCTAAAATGTATTTAAATGTAAATTCTAGTCAAAGTAGTGAAGGAGTCATTTGCGACCGTATAAAGTGTATATATTCTTGGTCAGCAACAACAACCTAGTCGATCTAGACATGTATGACAGAAACCAAATTTTTGGCTTATGTATGATGGATTTAAAATTCGATCCCATATCCAAGTGTAACCTGCAAGGGTATACAAACTTTGGAAGCTTCCATTCTTGTTTTATAATTAAAATAAAACCGTTTTTAATTCAAAACGATTAACCATCTGTCACGCTCTGCTTGTATTTAAATTTAGTTGAAGCTTGTTAAACAAACTCAGCTGAAATCTGTTCGAATTAAACAACAAAAAATATAAATAAATAAATAAAAACCGTGTTCTATATTTCATGTGGGAAAGAATAGTAGGAATCGCTTTGCATTTTGCAGCTGCAGCTGACATGCAGCCGGCAAACTGGATCTCAAGAGGCTGCTGCGCTTACCTGTACAAGCTGAGCTCGCCAAAATTCGAATCCAAATCACATTCCAAGGACCAACCAACAAGTCTGTCAAGAATCCGACTCATTAGAAGATGTCATGGGAAAAGATCAAAATAAACATGAATTATTCGGGGTAATAAGAAAAATCACTTTAAAAAACATTAAGACCAAATGATTCTATTGAATAATTGATGCTGGTTATGTTTAGTTATTAGTAATATTAATTAAACATTTTAGTTTAAAATATATCAGTTATTTATTATGTAACAGGTAATAATCAGAAGTAAGAAAACATAATTCCAGAAAATTCCTTAGACATTGTATTCAATGTCTTTGTCCTTCAACCCGAGTCATTTTTTTCAATTATTTTTTCAATTACTTTTATCGCAGCTGCAGTTTTAAGACTCATTTAGTTAAAAGCTTAAGAAATTATAGGAAAACCTCAACGATGAGCAAATAAAATAAAAAGTATAGGAAATACTTAAAATATGTATGTATGGGATCTCTAGTTACCCAAATCTCACTCGCTGTCACCATCGGAAGAGCTTTTTCAATTGCGATTATTATTCGGTAACAGAGCTCAGGCCTTTGTACCAGGTATAATCCCGTCGAGTCAAGATAGCCATCTAATGCTGCTCCGTCGAGCGTTTGACAAAAACATTGCTCTCGGCAAGACCGAGACTGTGGTGGCCCTTTTGGGCCATTGGTATAAAGGTTTTGGCCCAAACCGCCGCGGCTCAGTCTGCAGAGCAACGTGCGTGGATATCTTTGGCTCGAAACGGGGTTTCTTTTCGCAAAACGAAATATTTGGACTAATTTAACGAAACAGCGTGCAGCGTGCAGAGTGCAGTGGGTGGCCAGGTGGAAAATGCATTTTCCGGCTATTGATGACTTCTACCAGCGATTTCTGTTTCTGCTGCCGTTCGTCGCCAGTGAGTACCGCCAAAGTTCGACTGTCTGCAAGCCAGTGAGGTGTGTCGTGTCCAAAGAACACAATACGCTAGTGGATCTCCTTGATATTGAGACGCCGCCAGTTTTCAGTCTCAAGTATCCAGCCTCCAGTTGCCATTTCCTCGGATCTTGGAACTTTTAGACCGGAAACGCTACCATGACCACTGCCTACTATTGCGCACACCCGAACCCATAAGAGAATTTATGAGCCATCCCCAACCGAACCGAACTAAGATGAACTGAACTGAACCCTCGTATGTCACACTCGACGCCCATAAAACTGGCGCATCGCGGTTCATCTAATGGATAGCAAACAACCTGGTGGCTTGTAAATAATAACAATAATTAAATTTACATCCACAAATGCTCCATGAAAGCCAATGAGCGCGTCAATCTTGGGGGCGGAGTGGATGTCGAAGTAGCCTCCATTGTTATCCAAGCGGCGTGTGCGATCCATCGGTTGGAACAATGTAAACAAAGGAAGACTCCACGTCTTGAGCCCCGAAATCAAGCCATTATGATTCGCTTAGACGTAATCCTAAGCCTTTCTTCAAATTGCAGCAATTGGGAAAAATGTTTTGGGAAATTTACAAGACCTGTGCAAAAATGGCATGCAAAGTGATCCAAGGAGTAGCCGAACAATGGATTTAATTACCTATTATCTCTTTGAATCCCTTTCAGACTTTAGATCAGACGATAGGTCATTCAGCTACGACGATCCCGACATGTGGAAGTTCAGTTATCCCAAGTGCGGAGGCTTGGACCAGTCTCCCATCGCGATCAGCAATCGCAAGGCCCTCCCGGTGGCTTTGCCCCCCTTGGAATTTGGATTATACGACGATCTCTTTGATAACCTCGTGACTATTACCAACAACGGGCACTCGGGTAAATATTAGAATGACTTCTTGAAATAATCTTAATCCTAATAATACTTCTAGTGGAATTCGAGGTGCCTGCTACGATTTATGGAGTAAGACCCTATGTTACTGGAGGACTTTTGGTCGACTGCTACGAAGCAGAGGCCGTGCACTTTCACTGGGGATCTCCAAAGTCCAAGGGTTCGGAGCACGTACTTGATGGCCGTCGGTTTGACCTTGAAATGCACATTGTCCACAGGAACAACAAGTATCTGACCCTGCGGGAGGCCGAAACCCACAACGATGGAATAACCGTCCTAGCAGTGCTCTTTAAGGTTGTGCGGGTGAGTTTAGGAAGCCCTAAAATAGGGAAACGGAAAGGGACAATTTGCTTAGATACCATTTTTCAGACTGGACCAGCCTTCTATCAGCCCGGCCTCAGTGAGGTCTTCAGCTCACTGCTCCACTTGGGCAACTTTAACAGCAGCTACACGCTGCCGGAACAGCTTAACCTCGGTTCGCTACTAGGCAACCTGGACAGGGGAAACTTCTTCACATACAAGGGCTCCCTGACCACGCCCCGCTGCTCCCCGGCAGTGCAGTGGCACGTATTCGCCGATGTGCTGCCCATATCGCACCGGGAGCTGCCCAAGTTCTGGCAGCTGCGGGATCAGCGAAGGCGTCCCCTGCTCAACAACTTCAGGCCACTACAGTCGCAGGAAAACAGGCCGATCTTTCACCGAAAACCCTTTCTGGAGCAGCAGTTGCAAGAGGTGATATGGTTATAGTCAAGTAGAAAGTAGAAAGTATAGCCTTTTTTATTTTTAATAAAACAAATATGTTCTTATTGGTTAGGTATAGCTTCTGGGGAATGGAGGCGCCGGATTTGGGAATCAATTCTTCTTGGAGCGGGCCAAATAGGTGGCCAGCAGGCCAATCTGCAGGGCACAGAGGATCTTGGTTAGCGTGGGCGTGCGGGGCACTCCAGATGGAATCTGTAGCAAGGGTCGCGACGTGGCCAGCCCTTGGCTTGGCTTCACCTGGATGGTGGCCAACAGAGGAAGTTTCTGGGCTTTAGGCGATAGGGGCCACTTGGTAGCCTGAGCTAAGGGATTAATCGCTGGCCTCGCTATCATCGTGTGGTACTCCTGATCCCTGACATCGAAGGGAGGTTGTGGCACGGGCACTCGTGGATTGAGGGGGGGATTAAAGGGAGGTGGCATTATGACTCTTCGACGCTGATGACTCAGGCCATCCCTGCCGATTTCCCTATCGTAGCTGGTGTCCATTGTAAGCTTCGATTCCAGTTCCCGATCCAGGGTGAAAGGATTCTGGCCCCGATAGTCCACCTGGCGATCTCTTCCCCTCCGGATGACACTGTTGGAGTTCCTACCTGGTCTGCTTAACTTGAACTTGTCGAATTCTATATCTGTTCGGTTATCCTCTGTTTTGGGCGTGGTAGGACGTTCGTCGGAGCAAGTGATGACTTCCTGGGATTCCGTTAGTTCTGACACAGACCTCAGGTCGCTCGGTGGTTCTGTCTCATAGATATTTGTAACCTTGGGATCCGGCTGGTCTGGCTGCTTTACTTGATGCACGACGGGCGGAATATTGCGTTGGGGTTGCATTTTTTTGGGTCTGCCCGGATTAGATTTGCGCATCGGCGGAGGAACAGAGCCCGGCTGATTGTAGATATCAGGCGTACCCTCGCGGAACTGTTTCTTGGGAGCTGGGAACCTCTGGGGGAACGGTATAACAGGTTCATGCGGGATGTGTTTATTATCAGATTGGGTCTCCAAGTCTGTATTCTGCCCCAGTTTCTCATTGGGCGCATCATCATGGATCATAGACAACACGCCAAAGTCCTGCTGCAATGCTTCCTGAAGCTGAACATTCAGTTTGTCCAGCCGATCCTGGTCCGATTTGCTGAGTATTTCATCCCTTTGGTTGGCTTGGGACTCGTCGGTATCGACCTCTTGATTCCGCATCCAATCCCACTCGTAGCGGCCAGCATCGTCGATCTTTTTGTTTCTGAAGTGTCGCACGTTGACCACATTTAGGTTCTGGTTTGGCTTCCGATCACCCATTGTAGCCAGACGGTGTTCGTCCATTCCCCTCAGTGGGAGCTCTGCCTTATCCACATCCAACAGTCTCCCGTGCTTGGCAATATCTTCCCAGGCAGCACCTATTTCACCTCCCATTTCAGAGAGCTTGGGGGAATCTCCCACTGGATCGTCGAGCTCTGTATTCTCGCTGATGGAAGATAGATTCTTTTGGTCAAGAGCTGGTACCTCATCTAGTGCAGCCTCTACATCATCGTGAAGGCGTAACCCAACAGGGTTCTGCTCGTGAAAATCAGAAAGCATATGCTCATTTAGGGCGTCTGTTTCGGCATTCATTTTGACCGGACGCATTTCTACGGTTTCGTCTGGAGATTGAATCTCATCCTGATGATATCGAGCAGTGGGCAAGTTCTCATCCTCCCTTCGACTTTTGGCAATTAAGTTTTCCATTTTATCTTTATTTACGAGTGCTTCTATTCTTTGCCTGATGGATTTTATGAGACTTTCTTTTACCTTAAAATTGGCCTCATCCGAAATGCTAGCAACCTCCTCTTGAGCCATTTGCTCACTCGTGTCTATGGTACTCAGGTCCAAGACATCGGGAGAATCATTCATGGTGTTGTCAATGTAAATGCTTTTGTTTGCCATGTTTTCGGGTGAAGAGTCCAAGAAGTGACCATAAACCAACTTATTTGCACCTATCTCTAATCCGGATGAAATCCCCGACTCTGTGGCGCATTTTTCTGGCGACTCCTGTAAGAGGAGACGGACGTGCCGACCGCCCTCGCTGGCGTCCATCTTGAAGGCCACCTGCACATTACCTTTTTGAATTTCATCACGAACCTTGGAGGCTTCCGCACTCAGTTGACTGGGAATGTCCTCCGTTTCGTCAACCTGCGCCCAGTCGTCTATTACCTTCAGATTCCTTAAATTTGGACTGTTGGCCTCGTTTAAAATCTTGTCCAGACATGACCTCAGTTTGGGCAGAGCGTCTGCCACTTGTTCCAGCATCTGATCCACTTTGTCCTGTGCATGCTCCGGCTCCGGCTCATTGCTCAGTAAATGTGACATGGAGGAGCTGCTGTAGATGGGATTGAGATAGTTGAAGATTACTTCACTCAACTACTTCTTAGATTTACCTGAGGTCTGGATGATTTCGCAGGGCGTCTATCATCAGTTCCGGCGGCGCTTCGTTCTGGCATATCTTATGGATAGCCGTAAACAAGGGAAATCTGATTTGGGAGAGGGTTTAGATTACTACAAGATGCATCTCCTAGCTAGGCATCTCGCTTACTCGTGCTGCATTAAACCTTTCTCCAGAAAGACATTCACTTCGGCAGCCACCAGGGGTCCCAATAACTTGCGACCGTGCAGGAAGGTAGCTTCCATTTCCTCGAATGTCTTGCCAGTTGTGATGAAGCTCTGGGCAAAGTTTACATTCTTGTCAACTGCAAGAGGTTTGGATTCTGGTTATACCGCTATGGAAATCTGAAAGGAAACAAACCATAGGTAGCGGCCACCGAGTTTGCGATCCCGCAAGTCTCGAAAAATGTGGACATTTTGGTTGATGGGAAGAACGTCTTAATGAACCGCATCATCTCCTTGACGCACAGATGGATAGTGGCCACCCGGGTATTGTCGCCCAAGCGTAGGCCATCAACGAAGCCCGCTCCCAGGCTGATGATTTCATTGAGCGTGCCGCATAGCTCCACTCCAGTGACATCACTGATTGATATCACGCGGCAATTGTTCGTTTGCAGGACGGCGGTAAGGAGCTGGGCGTCGATGTCATCATCACAGCCCACAGTGATCTCGCACAGCTTCCCCTGTGCCATCTCCATTGAGCTTTGGGCAGACATCATCGAGTAGCAAGGAATGTCCAGACATTCGCTGATGGTATCCGACACGAGCACCACCTCATCCTCCCGCTCCTGCATCAGCCCTTTGATCATGGACACGGCAAAGGCAGTCTCCTTGACGTTGCCTGCCAAGATATTGCAGTAGGACTTGACGAAAGTGTGCGGCATTGTGAATATCAAAATATCTGCATTCTGAGCAGCTTCCAAAAGATCATTCACGGCAACCTAAAAACGCCACAATATACATAGAAACCCAAAATATTTAAATCTCTGGAAGATGCTCACCAGGTTCTTGGGAAGCTTGATGCCAGGCAGATACTTGACATTCTCATGAGTTTGGTTTATCACCTCGGACAGGAGGCTGTTGCGAATCGGATCGTCATAGACATAGATATGCACGCGCTCGTCAAAGTCCCCCTTAAAGTTCAGGACATTCTTGCTAACAGCAGATGCAATGGCCGTGCCCCTGAAATACAGCCGCAGATGGAATATATATCATGGGTTTATATGGCCAGACCTACCAGCCCTCAGCGCCAATGATGCAAACTTTCAGTTTAGTGGCCATTGTTCCCTTTGCATGAACTTCTGAAATTTAGGGCCGAAACGCGACCAAACGATGACTCTTACAACTTTATTGTAAATTTTGATATTACAGCCTCCCAAAATGTTTTGTAAGTGTGCCAGTTAGTGGTTCGCTTGAACAGCAAACTCACAACCTACTTTAGGGGCAGGGATGGAATTCGTAGACTATCTCCGACTTATCGTCCACAAGGGTGTCGCCTGTCGATCTGGACTTGCCCATTGCCTGGCCCTGATGTGGCAGGGCTTCCATTTCAATTGCCCGGATCTCGAATTCGCTGATGATCTGGGAGATTCTGCTCTTGGCCTCCGCCGCCAGCTTTGGCGGCAAATTCTTGACGGTGATGCAGGCGCTCTCGAAGAACAGGTCGTAGCTGCAGCGCTGTTGCACAGGAGCTGAGGGAGTGGACGGAGCAAGTGGCGCAGAAGCGGGAGACGTAGTGATGTCCTCTTGTTGGCTGTTTAGTTTTTGGAGATAGGCTCCGAGAACTCCGCGGTCTCGTTCGATACTCTGCAGGAGTTCTTGGCGATTCTGAGGCGGTGGCTTGGAGTAGCGCAGCTGATTCCGCTTCAGTGACATGCTCATGGTTTCCTCGAGGCTGAAAATAAATTAATATAGTTGCCATTTTACAAATAAATCCCAAACAAACCTTTCTTCGGTTTGATGTCGTGTATTCTATCTCCTTCAGCTCGACCTCGTAGGTTTTATTTGATCTCACGTATTTAACATTCGAACTTGTCCACATCTGATACTGAATGCAGTTTAAAAAGTCCTTAAAAGGACAAAACCAGGAGCTAAAATTAAATTTCCAAACTCTTCTTAGCCGCGAAATTAGCGATGACAGCTGGTCGACAGCTGGCGGTCTATCGAAGCAATCGATAGCCCCGTTATCAATTTAAATTTATTTTAAATTTATTGCAAAGAAATAAATCCTAATTATTAATATTACATGTAATCCTCAACCCTCAACTGATGCCCCCAAAGCGCGGTTGCTGCGTCAGGATATGGCCTCCATGTCCAGGCGGCCGGTGAATGGTATTCTGTCTTGACGCAGGCTCTTCGGTAGGACTGTTTTCCTTGAGGCCACGCAGCTCCAACTCGCAGATGAGCTGGGAAACCCGCATCTTGGCCTCCGCTATTAGCTTTGGAGACAAGGCCTTTACACTGGAACTGACGCTCTCGAAGAAGAGGTCCACATGGTTCTTCTCTTTCGGCGGCGACGGGAGGTGGACTGTTGATTGGCTGCCCATTAGCTCGCGGAAGGACTCCATTAGCTCGTTCTTGTCCTGGTGGATCTGCATGAGCAGCTTCACTCCCTCCTGGTTGGAAGCAGTGGGCCTAGGTATGCTCATTGCGGCATCTGCCGTCCTCGTTGTGGTGTCCGTTTCCGAGAGTAGCTCTTGCTTGGTCACCGCCTCCTGTTTCGTGGTGTTAGTCAGCTCCCTGGGGGAGGAGCAGTCGGCTGCAATAATTACTATAGGCTGAGGATCTGCAGGCGAGGCGGATAGTGCTTCTTGAGTCAGGGATTCTTCCGCTGCCAGCTCCTCCTCCTGCCGGTTTGCCTGAAGGGACACCTTGCGCTGTTGGTAGTACTTGCTCCGCTGCTGGCGCACCTGCAGCTCCCGGCGCACCACTTTCTCTCCGTTAGCCAGCAGCAACTCCTGGTTGCGCTTGTGCTTGGTGGTGCGCTCATGCCGGACCAAGTGGCACCGGTTGCAGTCCATGCTGCACTGGCAGGCGCGGCAGAAGGGCTTGTTGGGATCCTCGGCCGATCTTCGGAGCCAGGGCTCGAAGATCTTCAGCCACTTGTCGCAGAACTTCTGGTGGTACTTCTGCTTGGCGGAGCCGGACGAGGGCCGCTTCTCCTTGCCCTTTTCCCGCTTGGCAGATTGCTTGATGGTCCTTGCCACTTTCACCCTGGCAGCTTTCCTGCAAAGCCATTGTTCAAGTTAAGTTACAGGAGATATATTCGTTTTGCAGGCTTACCAGTCTGAATCCGAAGTGTTTTCCGAGAAGCTCATTCTTTCTTTCCGGGTTAAACGTTTTACCAATATTTGTTTACGTTGGATTTTAATTATTTTTGTAATCATCAGCTGATTGAATATAAAAATCGATAGACTGTTCGATAGACTATCGATAATTTGGCGGTGTATTTAAATACAAGTGCGAAATTGCTATAATTTTAGCTGTTTTTAATAAATCTAAGTTTTTTTAATAAAACATATAAAATTTGTGTTACATAAAAGGCACAAGTGAAAAATATGTAGGGCAAATTAAATTACTATATATTATACTGTATTAGCCGAAATACAAGTTATTCCTTGGCCAAGTGCTGCTTGCAATACTCCCAAATGAAAAGCGAACCGGTTACATGCACATTCAGGGATCGCACCAAGCCAAATTGCGGAATTTCCACGGCATAGTCCAGGAATCCAATGAGGTCTGCAGGTATTCCGTGCTTTTCATGCCTAAATTATGATAATTTTATTAATATTCTTAAAAGGGAAATCCCTTGAATGGGTCGGGTACTCACCCCAGCAACAAAATACACTTCCTGGGGAACTTAAAGTCGACGAAATTTGTGCTATGTGCCGTCTGCTCAGCACCAACGATTTTGTAGCCTTCCATCTGTTTTCCCATAAGAAACTCCGCCAATGCCTCGGGTTTCACTTCCACAATGTCCAAGGTCTTCTCGGCGGTCATGCTGAAGGGATGTTTTTAGTTGAAATTTAAGATGGAATAATGGCTAAATAGGCATTACCTTAAGTTGGTGAAATCGCTTTTCTCTGCATGCGACTTTAGGCCCAATATGAGGGTCTCAACGCCCAGGACCTCACAGGTGCGGGCGAGTCCTCCCAAATTAGGCAACTTGTCGATCAGGGAAGCCACCACAATAAGCTCGTGATCACGCGGTGGTTTCTTCGCATCCACAAAGTCACTATCCGGGTAAATGTCGCCCACGGGATTCATTTTTCTTTGCACGTTTCCGTTGGATGCCGTCGAAGACAAAGCCAGCTCAGGCGCCAACGAAGACTTTTTCGCTTTAAAGGTCTTACGGACCTGCTCAAGTTTCATTCTAAAGTGATATCTACAGCCCACGCAAGAGTCTATATTTTCATCAAATGGGGCATTCGTCATCCAGAGAATGGCAGAGGAAATATTATTCACGCATTCTGAGCCCAGCTCCGGTAACACAAGTCGCGCTTCGTTCTGGAACTCGCTCAACTTGTCGCCCAATGTCTTCTCGATTGAGTTCTTCAAGGCGTCCGCAATCGCCAACTCAAGGCTAGAGGTACAAAAATTTAGACAGAGTCGGGGAATAGGACGGAGGGTAACATTACCAGGATTCTTCGGACTTGATCGACAGCCGATGGAGAACCAGTTGCGCCAGCAGTCGGGTCTGGAAATTCGCGCCCATAGCAAGTGGCAGAAGATCGGCAAAGATGCCGGACAATAGCTTCTTATCAAGACTTTCCCACCGATTCAAGCAGTAAATGTGAACCACGGATATCAGCGATACCTGTTGGCTGGGCTTGAGACTAGGCAGCAGTTTTAGTTGCTCCAGTAGAGGATGAATGCTGGGCAGCATTTTGGCCACAAGATACTCGTACATGAAGCTGATATTGAGCTGGTCATTGGGACACAACGCCGCCTCCCACAGCCCATCTGACCAAGTCCACCGATCGCTTAGGTCAAGCAGAGCCTTGGCAATGCGCATTTTTCTTCTGTGCTCCTTGGAGTTGGCGAAATACCGCGTCTTTTTCCTGGAGAGTTCGTTGTTCATGGTTAGCAAACTGTCACAGATGCTAGCCACATCCAGGTCTTTGTTGTTGAGGGCATAAACTTTAAATTGCTCTCTCGCCATGGTGTTAGTATCCTTGATATTGTCGCAAGCCATTTCAATGCTGCCGAATAATAAAAGATATTAATTGAGCTTAGAAAGACAGATAGTTGAGGTTTCTTACCGTGCATCGCCAGTAGTGGTTTCTCCCGCCAACAGCCCTCTAAGGACGAACGATGGTGGGGCTTTGATATAGTCTGAAGAGTCCATGAAACCCAACAGGCGGGTGTTCCTATTCAAAACATCAACTACGCACTTCTCGTATTCCTCTCTATTGAGATTGGCTACCGCGTACTTTAGGATGGCTTGCCTTTTAAACCAAAAACGTTTAACAAAAGACCCTCTTGACCGATACTAAATGCTACTTACGTTTCAGCGAGATTGAATCTCCCCAAGCGGGCAATCAGGGCGGGCAAAATGTTCTCGTCCTGCAGTGGCTGCGTATGCTCTGCCAATCGATTTGCTAGGATTCCGAAAGTGCTGTCGGTGCCTTGATCCAGCAGTTCCAGGGGCTTAATGTTCAACTCCTGCAGCTTACCCCACGTCGGTAGATTAATGCTGGCAAACAGATCCACGCAGTGCTCGCGCACAAAGGACTTTTCTTCCCTGGTCTGGCACTCGAGGCGCTCGAGCAGATGCTGCTGCAGTGTATCCAAGCTCACGCCGCTCTGAAGAAGTGATGTGTCAATGCCATATACGGATCGGTAGAAATCCAGATAATTTTCGGGATTATCCAAGTTCTGGTGCAGGAAAAAGGGTAGGAATCGCCACCAGCCATGTTTGGCCTTTGGGACGGTCCGTAATTTTAACAGGAACGCAAGGAATAGATCGTATTTGTAATCCTTTTGTGAGACCAGCTCGCAACAGCGCCTGTTGAAATGCTCAATGTGCTCCTCGAAACTACTGCACTTTTCTATTTTATCTTGTAGTTGATAATGGTCCGCGTAATCGTCGATGGTATTGAACAAGGATTCAATGAAGTTCAAGTACTCGCTGATTGTCAAACTGGCTATTGTTTTCTGTAATAAAATAATAGCTAAACAAGCCATAAACTTGATTGTTAGATTCTTACTCACCGAGAAGGAAAACATAACATTCTTAATAGCAACGTCCCGCAGATGAGGATTCTGCAAAGACCGAACGCGGGCGCACAACTGAAGGAGCAGCTCCTTGGAAACAACCGGCAACTCCACCATCTGCCAACCGTTCAGCCAATAAACTAGGGGCACACAGTGCCACGGGACTCCCACGATGGCTTGGAGCAAAGGCTCTACCTCGAATCCCTTCATAAAGTCGTTCAATTGCTCCATCGTCAGGCTGTCGAGCACCTCCGGATTGAATAATTGCGTTCGATTTGTGGCCGCCAGGAACTCTGGCAGCAAATTGAAGCGGGCCAACTGGGTCAGGCTGGCCTGCGAGAAGAAGTACTTGAGGGTCCATCGCAGCACTAGGATGTTATTGTCGCCCAGGAGGCGAACGCACAAAATCCTCAGCCAAGCCAGCCAGTCCTCACTTAGGTTGGTGGACATCAAGCCCAAGCGGGGCAGCAGGGTGCTCAATGTGGGCAGGACCAGGTGAGACTGCTGCTCTTCCAGATTCTCCATTATGCCAACGTAGGAACTCCACTGCTGCTCGCTGCACTGCAGCGCGGCCACTACTTCCTGGATTCCCTGCAGCTTGCGCATGAGAAAGTACGCCGCTCGACGATCCTCGCGCACCTGCGACTGTAACAGATTCTGGGTGACGCCCACTAGCTCTTGAGCACACTCCGGCCCAAAATTATGGACGAAATCGTCGAACAGATGGACCAGAATCTGGGCCGCGTGTGGCTGGTGATCGTTGCTCAGGCTCAGCGACCAAAGCTGCTGCAGGACAAACTTTCCCTCGATTCGCGGAAACTTCCTCGCGTGCAGCTGCACGCAGACCAGCACGTTGGCCACCAGCTGCCGGCGACTGGCCGTGTCTTCGCGACTGTCGGCGATCGCCACGGAGACGAGCTTGTGGAACAGCTTCGGGCCAAAGCGGACGTTCCACTTGCAGTTAGTTTGCAGCAGGTTGTAGATGCACTGTAGGACCCGCTTCAAGGCCAGTTCGTTATCCTTGTGCATGTCCACCAGGTCGTACAGCATGTCGTCCAACTCCGCGAGTTCTCCTAGCAAATTCTGGTTCTGTATGTACGATTCCACGGCCTGGACCACCGCGTGGGTGGCCGTCGCCGTGGTGGCTCTGGTTGTGGGCAGTGACATGGATGCAGCTGCTCTCGATTTTTGCTGATTACTGACTATTTGTGGAAGAACGATGCCCGAGTGGCGTTTAGTTTCACAATTTATCGCAAGTGCCCGGAATGTGCTTTTGTTTTGTTATTTAAAAGCTAGTGTGGCCGTCCAGTACTTACCGAAAAATGTCAGAATATAAAATAACACTTATTAATTGGCTGTTGAATTTAAAATATTTATAAATTATTTTCTTATAAACTCTTCTTTTGAAATTTATTGATACGAACAATTTTTTACATGAAATTTATAATTCAAACCTACAATTAAAAAACTTCCCTCTGCCTAAACTATTTCTCGGTCTTCTTGTCCTTCGTTACTTCTGTTATCCTTTTGCACACGGCCTTCAAGGCCTTTTTGGCCAATTCCTTCTTTGCTTTGATTCGTTCCTGCTCTAGTTTTTTGCACAGCTCAGCTTCATTTTTCTTCTTCCTTTCGGCCTTCAACTGTTTCCATTTATCGGCCATATCTGCTTTGTTCTCCTCCTCTTCCAGTCGCTTGCACTGTTTTTCCTGCTCTTTCTTTTTCCTTTCTTGAGCCAACTGCTGGCATTTTTCGAGGTCCTCTTTCTTCTTGGACTCTTCCTGCGCAAGCATAGCTTTTTGGGCAGCTTCTAACTTTGCCGTCTCCTCCTTAATTATCTTGAGTTGCTCCTTAACTTTTTCTTGCTCCGCAGCCAATTTACATTTCGCTTCCAACGCCATTCGCTTACATTCTTTGGTCTTTTGCTTTTGCCTCTCTTCTTCTTTCAGCTGCTGGCACTTCAATTCTTTCTCTTCTTCCTTTTCCTCAGCTAATTTGCACTTCTCTTCCAACGCCATTCGCTTGCATTTTTCTGCTATTTTCTTTTGCCTTTCTTTTTCTTTCAGCTGCTGACACTTCAATTCCTGCTCTTTTTCCTTCTCCTCAGCTAATTTGCATTTCTCTTCCAACGCCTTTCGCTTGCATTTTTCTGCTATTTTCTTTTGCCTCTCTTTTTCTTTTAGCTGCTTGCACTTCAATTCTTGCTCTTTTTCCTTCTCCTCAGCTAATTTGCATTTCTCTTCCAACGCCATTCGCTTGCATTTTTCTGCTATTTTCTTTTGCCTCTCTTCTTCTTTCAGTTGCTGGCACTTCAATTCTTTCTCCTTTTCCTTCTCCTCAGCTAATTTGCATTTCTCTTCCAACTCCATTCGCTTGCATTTTTGTCGATCTTCTTCTATCTTGCAGGAGTCGGGCGTTAAAGGACTTTCTGCCTTCGAGGACTTTTCATTGGCCTTACACTTATCCGCCTCGAGCAATTTCCTGCAATTCTCCTCCTCGTTTAACTTGCGGCAGGTCTCCTTTTCGGCTCTCTTCTTGCAGCGCTGTTCCAGAGCTAGCTTCTTGCAGCGTTCCTTCTGTTCCCGCTCCGCCTTGGTCGGCTGCTGAAAGGTGAACAGCCGGAAGCTGACTTTTTCGGCCGACATGGCATTGACCAGCACCACCGAACCCTTTTGTCCCGGCTCGATAATGTCCATCTTAATCATAAGCTTGAGACCCGAGTTTATTACCTGCTGGAAGTCCAAATTCCCTATTACCATATCCTCTACGAGCAAAGGATATATGCCTCGGAATACCACCGACTGGGCCGCCTCGAAGGGACAGCCTGTGAGCATCACGATTGGACACGGCGGTCTCATGTGGCTGACCATCTGGGCCACCATAGAACACGGGCTGGCAACGACTATGGCCCGGGCCTGACCCACAGTAGCGGCCTCCGCAATTGACGTAGTTACTGCAGAAATGTGGTCGCCGCCACTGGTACGGATCTCCCGCTTGAGGTTGTTCTGTATGCTCTCGTACCACAAGACCGACTCCATTTTGGCACAAATCTTGGCCATAACGCGCACGGCCTCCGCCGGATACTTCCCCTTGGCCGTTTCGCCAGAAAGCATAACAGCATCCGCTCCGTCGAGTATGGCATTGGCCACATCGGCGACTTCGGCACGGCTGGGTCGCGGCTTGGTCGTCATCGAGTCCAGCATCTGCGTGGCACAGATCACCGGCTTGCCAACTTTGTTGCACTTGGCAATGATCGACTTCTGGGCCAGTGGAACGCTCTCGCTTGGGATCTCGATGCCCAAGTCGCCACGGGCCACCATAATGCCGTCCGATGCTAGGATTATTTCGTCTATGTTGGTCAGACCCTGCTGGTTCTCGATCTTGGAGATAACCTTGATGCGATCACCCGCAGGTCCCAGAGCCTGCCGGATATCGGCCAGAGCTTTGGCATCGCGGATGAACGATGCAAAGATCATGTCCACCTTCTGCTCTGCTCCGAACTGCAGGTCCCGCCTATCCCTTTCGGTTAAGGCTGGCAGATCCACTGCCACCCCTGGCAGATTGACCCCCTTGTGGGAGCCCAGCTTGCCCCCATTCTCCACCTCGCAGACCACCTCTTCTCCCTTCGATTCTTTGACCACCAGTGCGATCAGGCCGTCGTCGAGGAAAACGTGGTTTCCTGGCTTTACGATGGAGGCTAACTGCTGATAGTCCACAAAGATCTTCTCCTTGGTGCAGTTTTTTTCCAAATCCTTATTCGTGCTAAGAGTGACCTTATCGCCAGTCTTCAGCTCGACCTCGGCTTTGTCACTGCTCCCGGCTAGCATACCCGTCCGAATCTCTGGACCCTTCGTGTCCAGTGCCAGGGCCACCGCCTTTGGCAAACCCGTCTCCTCTTGATACATGGCAATGGCTTTACGTGCCTCCTGAATGGTTTTGGAGTGGTATTCGTGGCTGCCGTGCGAAAAGTTCATCCGCACCACCCGCATCCCTGCCCGAATAAGCTCCAAGAGCACATCCGCTCGTTGCGAGGAGGGACCTACGGTGCATATAATGCCACTAAGGGGTACCGACATAGCTGGAGCCTCGAGTTGCAGCCGCGACTGGTAGTCCAACTGGGAGGCGAAGGGTCCGCGGTCCAGCCGAAACTGGGGCGTTTCCTATCGGATATGGGTTACTAGCAGTTGTCTTAGCCAAGCACCAGACTTACATACCTTCTTGGTTTTGCACGCATAGCAGCGGTACCATTGACTCAACAGTGCATTTGTACTTGGAGGAACAGCCACACAGGTTGCCCTCAAGCAGACGTTTCCGACGTGAGACTGAATTTTGAAGCCAAAAATTTAGAAACCGAAAAAAATATTAAAAATTACAAGTCAAACTGTCAAAAAATAGATAAAAAATCACTCTGAGAAATGTATTTGCTTACTTATAAATCCTAACAAACGTGATCGGAGAGTTTAATCTCAAGAAATAACGGAGACAATCTTCGATGACATACTACAAACAAGACCACTATATTGTCTGAATTCGTTTGATTTAATATATATTAAATTTAACAATTTAAATAATCTTTTAAAGCAGCGGTCTGAGTGGTTTCTCATAATAGAAATATGTACCTCCTTTTAGGCTTAAAGTAAACCATGAAACAGTTAATATAATGTTAATAATGTTGACTCAATTTTCCATACATACATACATATAGCGACTTTATTAATTGTATCTTTTCGAAGAAATCTATATTATTCAACAACGGTACATTATATTTGTGTGTCTGTTTGAGGCCCGGGATGACCTTCGGCGCTTCGACAGCGGTTCTAGCATCCTCCTGCAGGTTCCAATATTCCGAATATTGTGTAATTAATAAATTAACTTGGTTATTAACATTAATCAACGCGACGCCCGCGACAGCTGCGACGCATCTAGGTACTTCCTGAGCGGCAAAGTTTATTCGACGGTGCTGCAATGACAGACAAATTCCACAATTAATAATTACTTGAAACTCAAAATTCGTCCTGTATTCCAAGCTTACACAATGCGGATGGTGTTGGTGAAGCCGGAGCCCTGCTTCCAGCCGGTCACCACAACGACAGAGTCGCCGGCCTTGACGAATCCGTTCTTCTTGCCCACCTGCACGCCGAACTGGACGCGCACATCCACATCCTTCAGCCAGTCGCCTTGAGCGGGCTCTGAAAAATTAAAAACCAGCGTTAGGACGTTTGAATTAAAAATCAAGAACAGGACTCTCTTACCCTTGTAGATGAGTGGCACCAGGCCACGGTAAAGATGGGCCTGACGGGCGGTCTGGGGGAAGCGGGTGACCGCAATGATCGGGCAGCGTGGGCGGTACTTGCTCACCTGGAAGGCCGACTTGCCGCTGGTGGTGATCACCACGATAGCGGCAGCCTTGGCCTTGGTGGCGGCCTCAACGGCAGCGATGGCAGCGGCATGGGCAGGGTCAATGGGGCCGGCGCTCTTGACCAGATCGTTGAACAGGTTCTGATGCCAGAGGGCAGCCTCTGCCTCCTTGCAGGTCTTGGCCATGGTCAGGACGCACTCCAGCGGGTACTCGCCCTTGGCGGTTTCACCGGACAACATGACGCAGTCGGCGCCATCGAGCACGGCGTTGGCAACGTCCGAGATCTCGGCGCGAGTGGGACGGGGCTTCTTTACCATGGACTCCAGCATCTGAGTGGCGCAGATGACGGGCTTGCCGGCCTTGTTGCAACGCGCGATCATTGCCTTCTGGGCAAGGAAGACCTTCTCGGCGGGAATCTCAATACCCAGATCACCACGAGCCACCATGATGCCATCGCCGGCCTCGATAATCTCATCCAAGTTGTGCATGCCCTGCTGGTTCTCGATCTTCGAGATGATCTTGATGTTCTTGCCCTTCTCGCCGAGCACCTTGCGGATCTCGGTCAGAGCGGCGGCGTTGCGGATGAAGGAGGCGAAGACCATGTCCACATCCTGCTCGACGCCAAACTGCAGATCGCTCTTGTCCTTCTCGGACACAGCGGGCAGATCGACGGGCACGCCGGGCAGGTTGACACCCTTGCGGGATCCCAGAGAACCGCCGTTCTCCACCTCGCAGGTGATCGTGTCCTTGGACACCTCACGCACCACCAACGAAATGAGACCGTCATCGACGAAGACACGGTTGCCGGGCTTCACCACGTTCACGATGTTCTCGTAGTCCACATAGACAATCTCCAGGGAGCCCTTCTCCAGGTAATCCTTGTTGGTGGACAGTTTGATGGTCTCGCCTTTCTTCAGCTCGATTTCGGCGGTGCCGCTGCCACCGATCAGGCCGGTACGGATCTCGGGACCCTTGGTGTCCAAAGCAATGGCCACGGGATGCTCGTAGCCGAGCTTGGCCGAGTAGTTCTTCACCGCCTGCCGCACATTGGCGACCGTCTCGGCGTGGTACTCGTGCGAGCCGTGCGAGAAGTTCATGCGGGCAATGTTCATGCCGGTGGCCATCATCTTCTCCAGCATCTCCACGCTGCGCGAGGCAGGTCCGATGGTGCATACGATTCCGGAGAGACGGACATGGGGCACCGGCGAGTCGAACTGCAGACGGCACATGTGCTCCAGTTGGGTATCAGCTCCTGCGGCCATGTTTTGCGGTACTTCGTTGGGCTGCAAGTGGAAGAAAGAGAAAATGTCAGTCACGTTTATTACTATTATATCCTAGATGAAGTCTCTGGTGGTAATTTGTATTCATCTAAATTAATTTAAGAAAACTAGCTTAAGCGTTAATCAAATCTTTGTCGCTAGACGTATACTGGATATAAACCTTTATCAATGATATGTAATCACTATAATATTTAAAGCTTAAAACCGACTTACATATATGATTGATAATCATATTTGTTTATTTCCCTTATATTACAGCCTGAAATGCTATCATTATGCAACAAGTAACTATTGACACAGGTAATCAGAGGACTCTCCATGGCAACAGTATTTGTAAAAGTAAATACTTTTATGTATTTCACCATTGCGGAATTATTGTTGTGCAGTAGCCAGTAAAATATGATAATTAAATCAACCCCTGGTGAAAATAGAAACTGGAAAGGGACGTGAGCCCCCTTTTGCTATTTTTATGAATATAAATCAATATTGTATTTATCGACCAAATTGAAATTAAAGACTACGTATAAATCGGAAACTGAGCAACGAGAATTTTCCAGAAAAAAAGATTTACTTATTAAAAATACAAAGAATAATAGGGGATAAACCCTTCTTACATGTTCCACCTAAATTTAAATTAGCTTAGTAATTAAGTATTACGCAGAAAATAAATGAAATCACATAACAAGAGCGCAATTGGATCGTAAACATCGCATTTCAATTCAAATCCAACAGTTGTACTTAGAAAAAGTATTGTTTTCCCGAAGTTAAGCTCACAAACATTTTTATTTAAACAATTTTTATTGAAAAATAACCTTTTCTTCTTAATTCTTCTCCGTTTGCCTTCAACTGAAATCTTTCGTTGCAGAATTTTGTGATGTAAACAAAGTGCGTGTACTTGAAGTGCTTGAATGAGTGGGTGGGTGGCCCCGAAAGAGACCGGAGAGAATGTAAGAGAGAGAGAGAGACCGACATGCGGAAGAAAAGTTTGCATCGGCGCCGACGTCGCTGCACCGCCGAAGGTCAGTTCTGCCGACCGCGACCGAGAGGAGGAGACAGCGGCAGTGGCATCGGCAGAACTTTCGCAGCTGCAGTTGCATAATGCCGAATTTTCGCCAAGTGAGTCTACGTCTGATATCGGATAACTACTGGTCTTTATGGACCAGTTATGGACGGCGGCGTACCTTCAGCTTGGGTGCCTCATCGTAGATGGTTACGTTCACCATTTTGTTGCCTACCAGGCGGGCAGTATGGAACCAACGGGAAACGCTCTTGAACGCGGGATCGGAACCGGGACACCGATGGAAACTATATCCTCCAGCAGCACACGCAACACGCACAACACACACAAGGCCGCGTTGAGCTGAGTTCAATATTTTGGCAATATATAGCTCTTGAGTCGAATAATGTATCCGGAAATCGAAAAGCGGACGCGCGAGGACGAGGCAAGCTGTTCGACTGACAGCAACTTTTTTTGGCCAGCGGAAAATTTCCCGAGCCGCACCAAAAGCGCTCAGAATGTCGGTAGCCCGAAAGGCAGAGAGCAGTGGCTAAGGCACGAGGTAGAAAAGCCAACACTTTTGCTCCCGCTCCCGAGAGCCGCGAGAAAGTTGGGCCCTAGGAGGCGGAAGAGGCGGCCACGGCGAGAGAGGAAAGCAACAGGCCACCCCTAAAAAGCCAGCCTCTCGCGAGAAGCGTTACGAAGCGAAGAAGGGGTATGATTCTAGGGTATAGTCGACCACCTGGTTACTCAGTTGAGGCCTGTTGGCAAATTTTCCCAATAAGGCGAGTTTTGACTGACAAGTCAATAATAGCTTCGATTATTTGACAGCGAAATCAGATGCTCCCTTGTTTAAGCTTTTCATTTGAAAGTGTACTTGTAGGTTATCTGAAATCTAATTCTAAAATGTTTCATTTCGTGAATTCCCGCAAACCCAACACACCCTTCTAGTCCTTCGAGTAGAGGGTGCGCCAAAGTTTATCCAAAGAAGAGAACGAAGCTTCAGAGTTGTTAACTGGTGCAGAGCTCGTTGCCAGCCGGCATTTGAGGTTCAACGCTTCCTCGAGTGTTTATTAATTATGCCGAAAATGATACGTGCATGTGCTGAACGCGTGTGTGTGCGTGGTAAACAAAAAACCGATCATCAGCTGTTTCGTTCCGATCGAGAGATGTCTGTTATCAGCTGACAAAAACCAGCACAGTCCCAGTTCCCTCCGCTGACCTTGACAAATCTGCTCCACAAAACGCCCGCCGTCTCGCTCGCACGCCCATTATGCAAGTGCGTGGGCATTTAATTTGCATTTGTATTGGTCGCGGGGGCGCTTTTCCTTATCGCTCTCTTTGATAATTTCTCTTCTCCTCGTGAGTGACACGCGCAAAAAGCGTGCCGCGAGAGCTTTGCGGCGCGCAGCTTTTGTCGGCGGAAAACGCACGAGAGGAAAGTTCTAAAAAGTGAAAGTGCTTTTCCAGCACATATGTACACACATAAGTACATATTCGTGTTTGTATGTACCACATTTGCCCTTGAACTTGCACCGAAAAGGACGTTGCTACCGTTACTGGAATTCCTACACAACAAAAAATTCTTATCGGAATACGGAATTCAGACAACCGGCACAGGCATAAATTATGCGAATTACTCATCGCTGCTCCCATTGCGGCGTCACCAATCTGAGGGCAATTAAACAATTGCGATAAGCAGCGGCGGTTTACAGCAGCAATGGGACAGCTTCGAAATAATTATTGTTGCATTTTCCAATGGCGTGTTTTATGAGGTGTGTTGGTATGGGTTTCTTACTTGGGGCTCCGTATGGAATGACTTCTATTTCACCTTTACACATTTCGCTAACGAGACGCTTCTGCGTCTGTGTGAGTGTGCGAATTCAATTCAAGAGCCTATGTGTGTGTCAGGCGGCAAACTCAATTCTACATAATGCGGAGAATTGGCTTGCATCATCAACAATTAGCGTCACAGTTCACAACTTTCACATCTTTTTATCATATATTTTATATTATTGTTACTTTTATTAATTATTATTTATTATTTACCTTTTTGGAACAATAAGGGTGAACTCGTAGAGATTTTTCTCCTGTTTTGGAATTAATTTATTTCAATTTAAATGCACAGGCAACGAACGCTCCAATCAGAAACCGGCCGTTTAATAAGCTGACTGCGTCCAGCGCTGCCAACTCTTCGGGTCGTAAAAAGCTTAAAAGCTTTCGAAAAAAGCTTTAAAAATCCAATAAAAATAGCTATTGTAGCTAAAAAATAAAGATTAAATAAAATTAAAGAAAATGGATAACGTTTTAATATTTATTTTAAATAAATTTAGAAAATCAAAGAAAAATAATGAAAGAATAAAAATTACAGCCCAATTTAACTAATTTAGGATCTTGAGAAAATACCAAATTCCTCTTACTGCGAGGGAACGAATCCAAAGTTAAATTAAATTTTAAATTAATGATTACCACAGGAGAACTGATATGCTGCCAACCAAACTTGTACCTTTAAACCACTTACACTTAAGAAAAATAAAGTTATTTTTAATCCAACCAATCTCGCATATATTCACACGTTATCGCTGTGACATCTCCGCAATTGGAGCAGTTCTTGATCACGGGACAAATTCCGCAGGGCATCTGCACCAGGCCGGTTGGTGGCAGAGGGGAGTTGACTGCGCGGTAGACAAAGGATCCATCCTGCTGACGCACTCGCTCCGCATTGCCATCGTAGACAACAGTTTTCAGGATGGTCTCCAGATCCGCCTCCGCTAAATTTACTTTGCTGATGCCCAGGTCCGAGATGAACTTGTGCACCTCGTTGACCGTGCAGCAGGACATCTGCTTGAAGGCTAAGGGACCCTCGCGCTTCTTCTCCGCTCCGTCGCGCTTCATCTGCAGGAACCGTAAGCACTGCTGGTTAAGTACATCTACGAATTCCACCTCAAAGTCCTGGTCCTGGTACCAGGCGCCGCCCGTGATGGAGAGATCTGGTTCCAGGTTGTATAGCATATACACCTTCTTTTTGCTGGCCTAAGGGAGAAGCATAAAAATAGCTGTCGAGATTCCTTTTACTGGATGAAACTTACATTCACCGACTTGACCGCCTTGATCAGCTTCTTCGTTTCCAGATTCTTGAGGATCTTATTCAGCTGAATCATGTTCAGGTTTGACTTCATGCGTATATCCCGGATCCAGATTCCCTTGTTGCCACCCTCTTCCACGATGCCGTAGACCACCTTCTCCTCGTTGTCGGCATCCTTGGGCAGGGCGCTCTTCTTCTCCGGATCCTTGGCGCGGTACACCAGCTTCTCGCCTTTCTTCAGGATCTCGATCTCGCCCTGCTGCAGCAGTATGTTCAGAGCCTCCACTCGCGTGGCCGGAGACACGTCGGGCATAGCCTTGGTCAGGTCATCGTTGGTGGCACCGGCCGGAATGCCCTGGATGACCGCCAGCAGTAGTTGGGACACCTCCGTCGCCATAGCGCCCAAGTCTGCAAGTTTTTAATATAAAATTAAGGAATCTTGTGCAGAGCCACAACACGCTTACCAAATTAATAATAAACAATACCGGGCCTCTGCTCAAGTCTGGCAACATCGCCGTCAGCTGGTTGCCGTTCGCCGGGACACACAAACAGAGATACGTGGCTGTTGATTCTGTGAATGCCACCTCGAAAATTCCGACAAGAAAATAAAATTAAATATATTAAGTGGACACTACTATGCGATAGCCGCCCACACACGCTGAGTGCAATTCCTCCGCCGCCTTTGGAGCCCCAAGTTCACGGAAATGGGTTTGTGCAAGTGCCCGAAGCGGCTGGTGACCAACCAGTTTTGCTTCGAACACAGAGTCAATGTTTGCGAGCACTGCATGGTGCAGTCGCACCCTAAGGTGAGGATCCGGTCGACCCACTTGCCTCCCTAGCTCATCCCTCTGACTGTCGCTTTCAGTGCATCGTCCAGTCGTATCTGCAGTGGCTGCGGGACAGCGACTACATCTCCAACTGCACCCTGTGCGGCACCACTCTGGAGCAGGGCGATTGTGTGCGTCTGGTCTGCTACCGTAAGGATCATGCTGTTACTCTGTATCCAAACATTGCCTGTTAATGCGCCATTGCAGATGTCTTTCACTGGGACTGCCTGAACGCCCGCCAAGCCGCTTTGCCTGCCAACACAGCACCGCGGGGTCACCAGTGCCCCGCATGCAGCGTTGAGGTCTTTCCAAACTCTAATCTGGTCTCTCCGGTGGCCGAGGCCCTGAAGAACTACCTGGCCCAGGTGAACTGGGGTCGCAATGGTCTTGGCCTGGCTTTGGTAAGTCTTTCTGCAGTCTTTAGTCTCTTCCGCCCTAACTGCAGTTTTCCCGACAGCTCTCCGAGGATCAGAGCAGCAGCTTAAAGGCAATCAAGGCCAAGGTGGCTAGCCAGGCGGCCGTCAGCAACATGACCAAAGTGCACCACATCCATTCCGGTGGCGAGCGGGAGCGTACGAAGCCAAACGGCAACGACGCCATGAGTCCACATTCCGTGCTCCTGATGGACGCATTCAATCCGCCCAGTGCGGGCGACTATGGTGCGTAATGATAACAACTCTCTGGTGAATCATTTAATATAAATATCTTCCGCCACAGCCAGCAGCAGGCGTCCTCTGCTGCCACGTCAGTCGCCCATCGGCGGAACGGATCGGGACGACAACAAGTACCAGCGCCGCACGCCCGCGGAGCTCTTCTCGCGCTGGACGCGACGCTTCTACGCGCCCTCCTCTCGGCCACCCTGGCGCCGCACCTGGTTCTTGGTGCTCGCCGGCATCCTGGCCTTCGTTCTATTCGTCTACCTAATGGCCTGGCTGGGACGCGGCGGATCCGACGCTGTGGACGAGGGCTGGAACAATCCCAATCCGCAGCCGAACCACTACGAGTAGGGTGTTCATGCATATTCGAAACGAGCATACGTAGCATATAACCGATAATCCAATCCCCGAGTCCCGAAAGAATAAAACTTTTACAGCTATTTATATAACCTAACATTGCAACGCGAAATAATACAAGGATAATGGAACTTAATCGGCATGCGGCTTCAATTTCTGGTCACCACTTCCGCCCGATTTGACGATCTGCCTCCGTTTCACCGGCGTGGTTGCCTGCGGTTTCCGCTTGGGCGCATCGAGCACCTCGTCGTATTCATGCAGCTTCTTGGCCAGGAAGTACATCTCGGCCAGAGCTATGATGAGGGCCACAATCACGCCCAGGAGAATGCGAAAGCCGAATGGCAGTGGGCCCACCATTAGGTTAACGCCAAAGAAGCCGAAAGTAAAGCCAGCGGCCACGGAGAAGATGAACTGCGCCACGGCAATGATCTGCTTGTTGATGCTCTTAACTGAAAAGTATAAGAAAAAAAACCTGTCAGTGGGAACTTCATGGAGAGCAGGCAGCTTCTTCGCTTACTCTGATAAGAAATTGTGTCTTCAGGGAAATTCTTCAGGCCAGCATCCACGTTCTTGGTCATCTTGTGGTACTCCCGGTTCTGCTGCTCTTCACGTAGTCTTTGGCAGCGAGCTTCCAGCTCAGGATCGCGCTGCTTTATCTCGTTCTCGGGCAGCACCATCTCACAGGTCTCGATCAGCTCGTGGAGAAAGACCTCAGAGTGCTCCTCACGCCGTAAATCATGAAGAACATCAGTGAGCCAATGCAGGTCACTTAGATACAAGACATCCTTTATCTCCGTACGTGGTTCATCTTGCTCCGTATCCTCTTCCGTTTCCTGTGAGGAAACAGGCTTCATTGCATCGGCAGTCTTTTCTGGTAGGTCGGGTATGTCAGCAATAAGCTTTTTTAGTTGGTCTTGATCGATCTTCGGACGCTGGCTGGGGACATCCCGATCTTTGATTATTTTTGTGCTGACGGGCAGCTTGTAACCCTTGAGCTTCATCAGCCTAGCCACATTTTCAGGCACTAGCTTAAAGTGTTCCTTCTGGGCGTCCAGAAAGGTCAACACTTTCTCAGAGGGCACCAGGCGCACCCTGGTGTCCACGATCGTCGACTTGAGCATGACTCCGACTACTTGGCAATGTTTAACTTAAGCTGCAGGTCCGAGTAGAGCTCTGCGATTTCCTCCTCCTTCTCCTCGAATGAGTTCTCGATGCGGCGATAACCGTGCTCCAAATTGGTCAGGAACTCCGCCCGGCGTTGCTCACGTGCCCGTCGCGCTTCCTCCAGCTGGGTGCTGGCCTGGAAATTCACATAAAATGCAATTAATCAATGATAAAGGGGTGAGATTACGGTGACCCACTAACAGTGCGTTCCACCTTTGCCTTCGCCAGCAGTTCGTTGACTCCGTCCAGCAGATGATTCACCTCGCAGCCCAGTTGGGTCAGGTTCTGGTTGCCGGATGCAATGCAGCGCTCGGAGAGATCGTACTTAAGGGAGCCCACGGTTTCGGTGACCTGGAAAAGTTTCTCCACTTCGCTGTCGTTGCGCCGCACCTCGAAATTCTCCAGGAAAGCCTCGATCTCGCCGTTCACGAACACGCGATGGTCTAGAATGCGAAGCGGCACCTTGTACAGCTCTGCAAGTAGTGAAAAATCCCAGTTATCTACGCTTTTCCATAGACTTTCCCGATTTTGTACCTCGTCCGACTTGGCTTATCATTATTTTCCTCCACCTACAGCTGTCACATGAGTGCGGCGTTGCCAGATGTTCACAAACATAGTACCTGGTCACACACAAAGGCTTGAAATCAAGGAATTCTACTGTCAATAAAATTGGCAAAAACAAAATAATTTATTTCAGAATCCGCTAGACATTTTGTGATTTCACGATTGTTTGCTGATATTTCAATTATTTTGATATTAGCCTGTTTGGCGTGATGTGTCATACTGCTCGCTATCGCTGCCAGATTTTTCTAGCGCCAGCTGGTCACACTGCACGCACGTACTCCACTTGCTGCCTTAATTTCCCGCAGCAGCCAAAGCCAGTAGAAAATTAGCCAATTTAAGCGACACGGCCAGGATGAGTGAGGAATTCAAGCTGCCCAAGCGCTCCCGCAAGCGTACCCGCGACGTGAAGCGCAAGGCCCGGCCGGAGTTGGACGGCGAGAACGCGTGGTCAGCAATGCGGTACTGCGAGAATTTTGAGCCATTTTGGGACTTCACAGACAACCTGGAGCGCATCGAAGAGTCGGAGGTGCCGTGCGAGGAGTTTATTGAGCGCTTCGAGCGTCCCTACAAGCCGGTGGTCATCCGCGGCTGCACCGACGGCTGGCTGGCGCTGGAGAAGTGGACGCTGGCCCGCCTGGCCAAGAAGTACCGCAATCAGAAGTTCAAGTGCGGCGAGGACAACGAGGGGTACTCGGTCAAGATGAAGATGAAGTACTACGTGGAGTACATGCAGGGCACGCGCGACGACAGCCCGCTGTACATCTTCGATAGCAGCTTCGGCGAGCACCACCGCCGGCGCAAGCTGCTGGACGACTACGTGGTGCCCAAGTACTTCCGGGACGACCTCTTCCAATTCTGCGGCGAGAGTCGTCGTCCGCCGTACCGCTGGTTCGTGATGGGTCCAGCCCGCTCCGGGACCGGCATTCACATTGATCCTCTGGGCACCAGCGCCTGGAACACGCTTATCCGCGGCCACAAGCGCTGGTGCATGTTTCCCACGCAAACGCCCAAGGAGATGTTGAAGGTGACTAGTGCGATGGGCGGCAAGCAGCGCGACGAGGCCATTACCTGGTTCAGCACCATTTATCCGCGCACCAAGCTTCCTTCCTGGCCGGAGCAGTACCGGCCCATCGAGGTCCTGCAGAGCGAGGGCGAGACGGTCTTTGTGCCCGGCGGTTGGTGGCACGTGGTGCTCAACCTGGACGACACCATCGCCATCACCCAGAACTTTAGTTCGCACACGAACTTCCCCTGCGTCTGGCACAAGACGGTTCGCGGGCGGCCGAAGCTGTCCCGAAAGTGGCTGCGCGTGCTGCGCGAGCAACGGCCGGAGCTGGCTCAGATCGCCGATAGTATTAACATTAACGAGAGCACCGGCTTCGCCTCGGATAGCTCCAGCAACTCTAGCTCCTCCTCCTCATCGAGCAGTTCCTCGTCGTCGTCGGAGAGCGAGGGGGAGGGCGGCGGCGATTCTAACACGGACAGTGGGCAGGAGAGCCTCACTGCCAAGAAGAAGAAAAAACGACGCATGGCGGGGGGTAGCTCCATGGGCGGCTCCTCGCGTTCCTGATGCAGGGAGCGGGCCAAGCGCAAAGGCTTGCTCATGCGCCTCTTCCAACGACAGCTGATGCTGCTCCGGCGGCTGCCCCGCTGCCGGCGCAGTTAGCGCTAGGATCAGAGGATCAGCCAGCGCCGCCGCAGCCTGGCCGATTCACCACCACACAGTTTTGTAATATTTTTCTACATAGACAAGCGAACGAACACATGTTTTGCAGCTCTTTGATTGCGTGCTAACCCCGCAGCGGAAGCAAGCCTGCCCCTGATTTCAATAGATGCTCCAACACATGACTCATTAGCGTAAAACATAAATGCAACAATAAATAAATCCAATATATTTGTAAAATGGTTGTGTTTTACTTGTCCTAAGAAAAGCCAATATTTATTAAACCTCCAGTGAAATCTATCCACTTTCTCATGAAATTCCAAATTTTTAAAATTAAGATTTACGGTTTATGATTTCCCCAGAAGAAAATCTCCAGCGAAATCTATTAGAATCTTTCACAACCCAAAATCCTTTAAAAAACAATTCTCCATTTGTATTTTACAAAATTACTTTTCTCCGCTTTATTTAGAATCCTTTTTTTGCAAACAAAAATGCGATTTTATATAAATGGTTTCCCGTTTTTCGTATTGTATAAAAAGAAACATAGTACATCGACATGACATGCAACTTAAGCAATTTTAGCTAAATTAAAATGTATGTACCATAATCGGAAAGGGGAGGAAAGGGCGACATGGAAGGTGTGTTTGTTTGTATAGTATAATATTTTGCCGCTGAACTAAACTAACAGAAATAAATCGTGAAATGTACAATTCAGAAGGGTTAAATGAAAGGTGGACAACTAAATTTTATTTACGGAACAGCGTCGTTGAAAGCACATGCTCTTAAATAAATCACCTTTAATTTGCTACAATTTGTTATTCATAATTATTATTAAAAGTTCTCTCCTGCGCACTCGATCGACATTTTCTCTTCTCCTGCGATGGTCTAGATAGAAAAGTTGTTTGCACTTTGCACTTTGATGTTGTGTCTCTGTGGTGTGGCTGGATTTCAGACAGTGTCGTGTAATTACAGATGTACATCGTTTTCTTTTGTTGTTTTTATTTTAATTATGAAATATTTGTAATTGTTGTTTTATATAAATTAGACATTGCGCACGCAGCTTCGTTTTGCTTAAGGTCTGACGGTTTGGGTTGGGTTTTCATGTTTCCATTCCTTTCGGTTCTGATCTGTTCTGTTGCGGTCTGATGTGGGTATTTGAAAATTGTTTTTAGCCAAGTTCTCTGGGTTGAGTGTTGAATTATGGTTGGTGTTGTGTTTGTTGTTAAATCTGACTTAATCGATATACTGCGCTAACCAACGGAAACCTTCGCCGTAGCCCTGTCGCTTCAGCACGGAACACATGAACAATTCCAACGGGCGGCCGGGCAAATCGGCGCGAGCAACCTTCCCCTGTAAATCAAACAGAAAATAATTCGTTATTAATCAATAACATATATATACATGTATTCATTTGCATAGTCCTAATCGTGGGAGAGTCTTGTTGTTTACCTTGCCGGTCGTCAGCTGATACAGTCCAAATACATTTCTCAGCTCATCTTCGCTGGCCGCGGCAGGCTTATCGATTTTGTTGCCCAATATAAGCACGGGGCAGTTGGAGAGCGCCTCATCCGTGAGCAGCGAATCCAGCTCGTTTTTGCTCTCCTGGAAGCGGCCGCGGTCCCAGGCGTCTATTAAGAACACGATGGCATCCACGGCGGGGAAGTAGTCCTTCCAGACGCGTCGTGCTGCAAGTGGAAGAGGGTAGATTATAGGACAATTCTGATAGATTATACAGTTTATTTTAAATATATTTTTTATCAAAAAAATCAATTTTAAAATATATAAAAAATAAAAAGTCTGAATATTTTAAAGGGTAACCTACAAGTCCATCACTTATAGCTCACAATCTATTGAATTTACATAACATCGACTAGGAACACACAAAACCCACTGCGCATTCTTATCAGGCCTTAAGTTTTGATATCTTTTTGCCGCTGAGACGTTTTTGCTTGGCTCGCGCTGCCATCTTTAGTCCGATCACGGTTGGCTTGCTCCGAACAGAAACCGATCGTCATCATGACAAGCTCTACTAATATTAACGCAAGCTAACATGCAAGTGCTTCTTTATCAATAAATAAAGTAATTTCATGATATTTTACTCGTTTTACTAATAAACTTATTAATAAACACTGGAATATGCACTTTTTTGTGGGGAAAACTGATGTTTTCCTTCTACAAACAAGTTTGTTTTCTGCTAACTGATCTTGGGCTTTTGTTTTTGTTTGTTATCTATATAGAATGTTTGCCTTCATACTTGTGTTATTCATATATAAGTATTTCGAGTATAGAAGCACAGTGGTTAGAGATGCATTTATGTTAAACAAATCATTTCAAGATATACCGGAGTTCTACATTTAAGAGATTAAATTTATGGATTCCATACAGAACCCACAACTTCCTACATTCTCATGGAATTTCCCTCATAAACCTGTTGTGTAGGTAAATAGTTCGAAACCCACTGCCGTGGCATTGCTCGAGTGTGTGACGCTGATTGAACGCAACAAATGTGTGTAAACAGTGTAAAGCTCTAAGGTTGTATGGGTCAGACGCTGCGCTATATTTCATGCTGATTGTCGTTGGATCTGGCTCTTTTGCATGTGTCGCCCCTTGTGATATAGTCTTTGGTCTATATTTAGCCAGCGGGCACGTTCGGGAATGTGCAAAAATTGATTGCATATTCTTTTTTTGGGCTCCGGGTGAAGCCGAGGAGGACGGAACTTACCCTGAGTGTGGCCACCCAAGTCGAATGTAGTGAAGCGCATGTTGCCGATGGACAGCTCCTCGGATGCTGCAATAAATGATTGGTATCAGTTTTAAATGGTGAAATGAAACAGTGACGGCTACGAGGGTAACTCACTTGGATGTAGGGTGGGCACATGCTGCGCCAGCTTATCATCTTTGAGCATATGCAATAGTGTGGTTTTGCCAGCATTATCAAGGCCCAGGAACAATAATTTGCCAGACTTTTTCCACAGACCTGTAACGAACGAAGAAATGTTAGATATGCTGGACTTTGGCTTAATCGTCACCAATTATATTAATTATGTACGCAGCTAAACCAATACTAATGACGGATCACTTGTGTTTACGTTGGCACAGACAAAGCAGCCTATGTACAACAGAGGTGGGAAAGGTAGAACTAAGAGTTTTACTTAGTTACATATACATAAATGTTCTTATAGAAAGAAAGAATTTAGGAAAATCGTAATCATTTAAATATTTATATTAAAAGAGTTTTTAAAAACCAAAAGTAGAGACCCTATCATTGATTTTACGTTTAAGAACAATGATTATTTCACACTAAAAATATTTAAAAAAAATAAGGAAAAACATAAGTTGATCAATATTAATTAAAAACAAATTTTCTGTGAAAATGCAGCAAATAAAAGCAAGTAAAAGTTCGTCAAATCTAAACTTATAGACCAAGATCTCCTGAAATTCGAGCTATTTCCAAATATAATTTTTGTTACTATATCCCTATACAGGAAGATAGCTATTGTCTTGCCCTTATCTGTGGCACAAGACGAATTTCGGTTTCTTTTGTCTGGCCGTCTGGCGTCGTTGCTGTTGCTTTGTTGGCACCCGCTCAAGAAACAACGCTCCCCCATGGCACAATGTCAGATATTCCGAGGCGACCTCGGCCCGACTCTTACCCAGGTATCCCAGCACTCCGGTGAACCAGTCCCAGATGAACATCCTGCTTGGTTCTTGTGGTTATCGGTTGCGGGTGGCTCCAAAAGCTGAGTGTGAGTGTTTTGTGGGGGGAAGAGAGCTGCTGCTGCTGCGCTAGACGGCTGTTCGGAAAAGATTGAGAGAGGGAATCGGTAAATATAATATATTTAGCAACAGCAGTGCAGTGGTGCGCAATTAGAAGCTCAAGTTCAATGTCCAGTTAAAAAAAAACAGCAAACAGCGGAAGCAGCAGCGGTGGCGGCGGCAACAACAGCTTCGACTTATTGGAAATCAATTCTAAGGCGGCTTCGCTTCCGGATGGGAACCTTGACACACATACGGCCGGGTGGACCTTGTGGCCAGCGCTTCCTGCCGCTCGCGGGCAGTTGAGTGTCCGTAGGGCTCATTTTCGGGCCATTATTCGGTTAATTAGGTTAAAAACCTGTTCTTTGTCAACTGGGCAACACTTTCTTTCCTCTTTCTCTCTTTTTCCCTCGTCCGATTGCGGGCGCAAGTGTGTGTGAGAGCGCTCGGGTGTGTGTGCGGGTCGAGTGTGTACGTCTGTGTGTGGAACTACGTGGTAGCACGCATTATACTTTATAATATCTCTTAGTTTTGTGCACATTTCGTAATCACACTTTGGAACGGAGGTTCACCCTGGTTATTTTTTATATTTTTTTGGCGACACGCCGCCGCCGCCGCACCCTTGATCTCAAGGCGCAGCAGGCATTGGGATTTCGAATTGGATTTTGCACTACGTGGACGCATTTTGGGATTTCGGGTCGGGTTCAATTGGCTGCTGTTGTCTCGTTGCTTTGCCGCTACTGCTGCCGCGTTGCCCTGAAAGTCCGTACGATTCGTCGCGTCTCTTATGGATGCTGGTTACCGTGCATGTGCTGTGCAAGTGTCAATTATAAACTTAATTCCTTTTTTTACCTCACGTTTAGTCAGTTTTTTCTAATCAAAAGCCCCAGTATGACCAGAGCGGGATATTAACTTAATCACAATCGTCTTCGATAGTTGGGTAGCCCTGGTAGTTTTTAGGCGTCTGGCTGCCTCGTTTGAGGTGGCAGCACTGGTCGATCGGGGTGAAATCCAGCTGGTAGCTCCAATTAGAAAGTGGCCAGACCGACAGTTCGAATGGGAATTTTTGAATAAATTTGAAAATGTATACTTGTTTTAGTACAGAAACATTTCTAAATTTTAATTCTTATCGCATGAATTCAATTTTTTTACCAAGAAAGGTTACCCATTAACTGCCAATTGGAGACTCCATTAATTCTTTAATTGTTTTTTCTATACAAAAATTAATGACTATATTGTAATTATTGGTAACTATGCCTTGTATTTCTAATAAAAAGAGCAATATTTATTATAAGGAAGAATATTTATAATATATGTATAACTCTGCACCCCACCTTCTTTTTTTAATTTTAAATTTAAGATAAATATTTCAAAATATTCTTTTATTTTATTTTATATATTTTTTTTAGAATATATATGTAAGTTGGTAAGTGAATAGAGTTTTTAGAATCACAAAATATAACAATAAAAACATTTAAATACAGTATCATGTGTCTGTAAAATAGGCGTTCTTAGGCATCTGGGAGGTAGTGCCTTAATTGACCTTCCGCATCTGCTGCAGGATAATGTCCTCCACCTGGACGCCATCAGGAGTGTCCAGTGCATACAGTACGGCCTTGGCCACATCCTTCGCCTGCAGCTTCGGCAGCTCGGCCACCGCCTGCGAGTAAACACTGAGGAAGTCCGTGTCCACCATGCCCGGACAGATGCTCTGGGGGAGGAGGAGAATGAGTGTCACCAGAGTTACCAATGGCTGGCTGGATGGCCAGACGCAGACCAGACGCGTCGCGTCATGTTTGCAAATTTCCGGGGTGGCAATGGGTGGGTTGGGATGGGTGCAATGTATGCACTGCATTTAACTTACCGTTAATTTAATATTTAATTTGAGAAAATGTATTTCCTGGCGCACCGTTTGGCAGAGGGCCGTAATTGCATGCTTCGTGGCCGGATAAACGCTGAATAAGGGCACCGGCACTTCCGGAATCCGATGGCCAAGCACGCTGTTGTCAAACGTCCGCCGGAGCATCGTTGTCGTTGTACCGGAGGAGGAGGAGGTGTGGGAGAGAGGCAACAAACAGTGAAGTGTGTGGGTAAATAAAGTCAACACAACGGATTCGCAAGCACTTAAAACTGCGACAAAAACAAGTCGCCGCCGAACGAACACTTACGGGGGAAAATGACGGTCAGCAGCTGACGGGGACTACGGAATTTCGACCAACCCCCCCCATCCACTTGCACCCACTTTGCATGCCTCAAAGAATGTGTGCGGATGTCCTGTTCCAGGTTCCTGCTTATTCACCTGCCTGCATATGTCGCTGTGCATTTTGTGCAAATATTGCGTAAACTTCTTTTAATTTAACGCGTACACTTCGAGAAAGAAGTAGCAGTACAAGCATTAATTGGATGTAATTTAGATAATTTAATTGTATTGCTATTGCTTGATAAACATGAAAGTTATTTAGCAATAAATGCATTATTCATGCTAAATTAGTGCAACACTCCGAGCTTTGTTTCATTTTATCTTCGTTTTAACTGAAAATAATTTACCTTCTGGAAACCATTAATGAACTATATAATTTACCCAACTATTTTCCCAGTGATCTTCAAACAGTTTGGAGGCGGGGGGCGCCTGCAGAACTCAGGGCGTTGCTTGGAGTCCAGGGCATTTAAAGCAAACAGCTGCAGACGCTGCAGATGCTGGCCGGCATACCCTTGCATTTTTTAATTAATTAAGTCTTAATATTATTGCGCTGACATTAAGCGAACTGCATATTGGCGCCGGTGCCCGCCTCACCTGCCACGCCCCCCGAAGCGTCACACGCTCATTAGCAACGCCTCAGCGAAGATTTCGGTTCGGGATTGTCTTTGCCTCGCAACGGCCAAATAAATACATTTTCTCATTAATTAACGTTCGCGAAGTTCGAAGTCGCATTTGCCCATTTCGTTTGCGGACAATACGCTTGTGTCCGCTGCTCATTATGCCGGAATAAGAACCGTATATAAAATGCCGGTAAAATGCGTATTTACGGTGTGTCTTTAATGCACTCCAATGTTGCAGTTTTTCGCAGAATTTCCGAGTTTGGGAGACGGCTCAAGGCCTGGTAAGTATGCGTTTAACTCGCGGAAAGCCTTGTTGTAAGTCCCCGCTCTTGGGAAGGCACCACAAAAGTTCCCGGACATGTTAATTACAGATTTTTCCATTGCACATATGAGTATAAAGCCACTGGAAAAACGTATTTTAATTTCAAACCAATACGTAACGGAAGAGTTAGAGTGTCTTTGGGTTCACTAAAAAAATTAATTTAAAATCCCTTAAATTGAAGTCAATATTACAAATTGTTAGAAGTTTTAGATACGGTGTGGCATAAAGTGATTGTCCTATAATAAAAGTTTATAAACACGAGACAGACCCCCCGCTGGCTGCATTTCATGCGGGCGGCTTGCTATAAACTTTTCCCAGCCTTTACTATTTACAAACAAATTGCCAAATATCCTTGCATAAACTAAAAGCCAATCAATAAATAAGATTGACGTTGGCTTTGTTGAGTTTGCCTTAACATTTCAGCATGTTGACTGATTTTACAGGCGGCGGGAAAAAGGCTCGCATACATCGACATTCACGCATGCACGAATGCCTGGCCCAACACACGGTGCGTATACGCAATTATTCTATTTTGCCTTTTGCTCAATAATTGCTATCTGTGTGTGTGTGTGGCTGAGTGGGCGTGGGGGTGTGCTTGTGCGTGCACTCAAGTAAATTTCATTAAAATTAAATCAATGCAATTTGAAATTAAAGCCATAGCGCAAATCAAACATGCGGCTTAATGCGCAACATTTTTGATTTTAAATGCGGTGCGCATTGGAATCCATGAAATAATAAAAATCACATCGACGACTGCCACGCAAGCAGCACGCAGAATGCAAATGCAATACGCATTCGGCTTAATGCAAAATACTTAATTATGTTGAATAATTGAGTTGTTGTTTGTGCAAACACATTGGCCATGCAAAGCTTTTAATGCACCGCCCACACCGCAACACGGAGCACGGTGCCCCTCCCTGCCCTCCTGATTTTCTGCATTTAAATATCAATAAATGTTGGTGCTGTTGTTCTGTTTGTTTGCCGCATGGCTTTTAATTTAATTTAAATAACGCGCCCGCCACTCCCCCCGCCGCCAGACCAGACCCCTTTGTGCGTATCCTTTGTGCGGTTCATGCAAAATGCATCGCGCTGACCAACACTGAACACGGCAGGGCCTATTGACTGGGCCCCGGCTGGGCGGCATTGTTTGCACTTTCATTAAGCCCCGATTGGATGCACCCCTAAGCCACCAACCCACTCCACTTCGAGGATATATATAATTCGGCAAATATTTTGGCACTCAAGGCAGCAGCTTTTGGTCAGTTGTTTGCCCAGCACAAGCAAAACTATAAAGCAAATAGGCCAGGCAATGCGAAATGATTTACCTCCAACCCAATATCGCTCAGTGCGAGTGTATGCCCTGCACTAATTTCAGTTTAAGCCCCATTTTCCCATTTTAGCTGGGCAAACAACGCTGCCAAAATGATAACAATTACGAGCATCGACAAGCAATGTTTGTCCGCCCGGCAGTAGTTGTGCTAATTTTGTAGCTATATCTAATTGTCTCGAGTCAATAGACAGTCCTTTCCTTGTATTGCTTTCAATTGAGGCGATATTCCTCCGTCCATCTGCCTAACAACACTTTCAGCCCCGGCATCAACTAAGGGAAAACTGAATATATTCCTTAATGTGCTGAAATCTGAAAGGAGCTTAAGTTGAATAGGATTATTTGGCTGATACTTGTATTGTGTGTTGAGTTTGTAAGTTAAATTGAATTAACCAAGTTAAATTACTCTGAAATATACTATTTACTGATTTTATTAGTAACGTTTTAAAGCATCTTTATTTTCCTTCGATGCTGACGAAATTTTTGTAATAATTTCTTAATGTTGACCTTTTTAAAACATTATATTGACACCTTTTCTATACATATTTTAACCGATTTCCCTATAGTTCTTTAATACATAAACTCCATAAACTTTCCAGTTCCAATGCTTCTATCTTGAAGTATATACTCACCTGTTCATGACCACGATGTGACCGCGAACATTGACCGCAGCCATGTGCTTAAGCGCCTCCCGCAGGCAGCAGGCGGTGGCCACCACATTCGTGTCAAACAGCTCCTTAATATCCTTGGTGGGGGACTCTGCACAGATACGAACGGTTAACCTCAAGAATATGTTACTTTTCGATAGCATACCGCTCAGGAAGTTGGCCTTCAGGATGCCCGCGTTGCACACCAAGACATGGATGGCCTGAAACTTTTCACGAATCCAGCTGAAGGCACTGGTCAATTGCTCCTCATCGCTGAGGTCACATTGCCTAGCAAAAATCTTTCCCTCTCCACTCACTTGATCCTTGAGAGTCTGTTCAATATACAGAGTATATGTGTTTTTTAAATGGATATTGCATATCCCATATTGGCCCAATCTTTACCTCAATGAGTTCAACCCGGCGTGCTAGACCCACGACCACCATTCCCGCATTGGCCAACTCCAGAGCTGTGCAGGCTCCGATTCCAACGGAGGCGCCAGTAACCACCGCCACCTTGTTGCGCCAGTAGGAATTGTCCATGATCGAGGTTAGCAGAATCGTTGAAAAAATAAATGGTATAAGCAAAGATAACCTGACAGCTTCGTGTGTCAGTGACTACTGGAGGCTGAGTGCGCAGATCGTTGCTCCAGCTTTCGCAGCTGCAAATGCAGCACAGTGGGTTTAAGTATCTTTAATATTGGGAGAATTAAATAGAATATTTTATATATATACATTTTAGATATTGTAAAGACTTGTGGGAAATCTGTGGCGCTAACAAAAGGCCAACTCAATTTGTAATCTATCTTTGTTAAAGATACACTTTCTTAAATTAATAATTCCCTTTTTCATAAACAAAATATTATAAACTTTGTTTACTTTTATCGTTTTTATCTAGTTATTGAGCTGGTTATTTGATTTTACTTATCCATGATAAAGTTGTCCATGTTCATCGTCGGCTTCTTTTTCCATAGACCGGATCAGGGGGCACGCTTTGACTTCGATGGCATTTTCTGTGGGACAAGGCGGATTTAATTGATTGCAATTTACTTGCTGTCGTTGCCGGCATTGTTGTGCGGCTGTGTGTAGTTTGTAGTTTGCATTCGCCTCGTTGCACTTTGGCTCAACTCAGCCCTCAACCCTTGGACAGCCCTTCCCCTGTGCCTCTTCCTCCCATTCATGGAGCATTGCACCCGTTTGCATTTCAGTTTAAGCTTTATTTTTTGTTTTTGGTTTAGCATTTTCTTTTGTTCGCTTGGGGTTTTCCTAGTCGGTTTCTGCGGATATTTGATACCAAATGAAAAATCTCATTTCGCTCTGCGGCTTTGGTTTGTTGTCACTAATCTCTCGGGCTGACACTTGAGGATTATTTTCATATTTCTATTCACAAAATGAGAGACCAAATGGAATGGGTTTCGGAGGGGAAAACGGCTGGCAACAGAGAGAAAAGCCATCGGTTATGCCGCCACTCGAAGCTTGGAGTACCCTTGAGATTGGTCTGGATCGTTATTAATTTATTAAGTGCTTCACAGGTGGGATTTCCTTGCTGATGTGTGACTATTTGTTAACATATTTATGAAGTTTGGATAAAAGTAAAATACTCTTTGGAAACGTTTTGCTGAATTTTGATTTATATTTCTAAAAAATGTATACGAACTTATTAATAGGCGGGTTGCATTCTTTTCTATTTAAGGGGGTCTTCTCATTCAAAAGCCGTTTTTTGGACCCTTTTTAAAAAAATTCTTATTTGAAAACGCAAAGAATAATTGAAAACTTTTTTTATTTATTGTATTCAAAAATGTTCAAAGTAACTAAAAAAGTTGTTCTTGCCTCGATACGAGGGTTGTTCAAAGAGTAATGAGACTTCAAACTTGGTGGTCGAAAAAAAGGTGTCGTCCTGGCGGCCACGATTCAGGGTCTCCAGAACGTCCGAAATGAAAAATAAAAACGGGGTTATAATCAGAATAGATGTCATTTTCGGCTGACGGAACAGATTTTTTTAAAAAATTTTTAAAACAAAATGGCGGCCATTCAAAAAAAAAAATTCGATTTCGGGCGTTTTTTTTGTAGTTTAGTGTAAAAAAAAATAGAAAAAAAAATTTTTTTAAAAATCTGTTCCGTCAGCCGAAAATGACATCAATTCTGCGTCGATTCCATTTTGTTTCATGAAAATCGGTTCAGTTGAACTGGAGATATCATGGCCGCCAGTTCGAAAAACGTGGTTTCGAGATAAACGCGTTTGAAGTTTGAAAAAAGGCTCATTTTGCATAGATCTTGCTTCACAAAAAAGGCTGTATCTTCTAAAGTATTTCGAATTTCTAAAAATCCTTTTGGGGACATATACACACCATCCCAAGCTATAAATAAATGCAAAAAAAAAAAAATCGAAAAAAAAAAGTTGCCCAATGAGAAGACCCCCTTAAACATAACAACATGCAATTTGTCTGCTATTAATATTAAAATGCAATATCCATTCCCATCCATCATTCGAGGGACATATGCATTATCGATAATCTGGCCCAGCATATGCCATTATATTTTGATAGTTCCATCAACAGGCCATGAATATTCCGATAGGCATTTAAATTCGCTTCACAGTCCAGTGGCTGGCTCGTAGTCTTATCGCATTTTTGTAATTACCAAACAACAGCTTCGGTTGCAGGGCGGCAGTGTCACTTGGCTGGCTTCTTGGCCACGGCTCAGTGAGCCTGCTGGCAAATCAAAAATCAGCTTTATCTCGGCTGGACAAAAGTATTTGCATGTTGGCCTTAAGTCAGGAAAGGGCAAGTGGGCCAAAAAATGCACTTGGACCGGATTTTCGGGGGCAGGACATCGTCGTTGCAGTTGACAGCCATAAAATGCAGGTGCCAGGGAATGAGCCTTCTGTGGCTGCCTGCAATCGGCCAGAAGTCAGGCAATTGTTTCGATTGGCCAGCCATAAATTCCCTGGCATTTATGCGGTACAGTTTGTCCGGACTGTTAACTAACAGCCGGCCAAGCCATGCAAATCAATTGCACTGCCAGCAGCTGGGAGGGAAAAGCTTGCGGAAAGCAAGGAAAACTCTCGCACTCGCACTTGCACACACAGAGGCCACGGAATTTATGGGCCATAAACTGAAATTGGCCAGAACGAGTCGGTGAAGTCTTGGTCCTCTGTGTGTGTTTGTGGGGTCATCAAAGTGGCTGCTGGCATTTTGAGCTGCACACAGAGAAGTACAATTGTAAATATTTTCCCTGGCACTTGGAGTGCTTTTCCTTGAACATACCAGGCCTCGCCAGAAATCTTCCTTTCGCTCCGATATCGCCAATGAAAATTGATAGAAAATTGGCGCACAAACTGTTTTTAGTTTGGCAACAATTTGCTCGATTTTATTCGGCTTTCTTTGGATTCCCCGCACGCGGTAGGTGTTCCTCGTTTTTTTTATTGTTATTTTTATTTTTTGGGGTTTCAAATAAATGAAAAGCTCGCGTCGTGGCGAAATTTATTGTTGCATACTTTTCGGCTCAGCGCCCCGTGGCATGCAAAAACGCAAAAGGGGAGAGGGGACGGGGGACTGGTACGGGGGCGTGGAAAAGAATTTTCCACTGCATACATGTGTAGTCGGCCTCACTCTGGCCTTGTTTATTTTTCGGTTAAACCCCAAATATGCATTTTTCATGGCCTCGACGGGCTTTCCATCCACATGCGTCCGGCTTGCTGCTCCTTTTTTAATTGCAATAACATTTGTCGGGGCCGAAACTTAAATTGCATTTACCAGCATTTTTGGCAATTAGCGCTTACGTTTTTATTATATGCAAAGCGCATATAGCTCATACGCCGTGTGGCGCTCTAAATCGAATAAAAAAACAGAAGCTGTGCCACATGCAAATGGAAACAATGTGAAAATACTCGCGGCGTGTGCAAACAAAACGTCCAATTAAATTAGAACAACTTTTCTTTCAAGCCAAAAGCATTTAATTGAATTACTCCATGCTCTCGCACTCCTGGTGGCGTGTGAAAAACGTCAAAATAAAAGTTGTAAAGTCTGTATATTTAACAAAGTTTCCCCTGCTGGCCATCCACTTATTTGAATAAGCAACATTTAAAAGGAATTTGAATTAAATGCGAACAAGGCTGATAAAAACAATGAGAGTTAGAGACTTACAGAACATGTTTTCTCTGAAGCATTAGGAAGTTTTTAGCTTTAGCTTGTAATATTTTATAGAAACATTATTTTCTAATCTAACCCGGTTCCTATAACTTTTATAAAATACCTCAAGGCATGGGATTCATAGTGAGACACATTCCAGAACCTATTAATTTACACTCTGTCTCAGGCAATCCTTCAAATGCTAGGCCCTTCTTACTATTAATCAAAGGCTGACACAATGATTTAATTAAGGGCCACGCCCACATTGACACCTGTACGACATGACACGGCATTAGGCATGGTGCTGCAGAAAGGTGCTAACCAAAAGCAACAAAAGTTTTGCTGGAATTTTAAAACAGGCCAAGCGACAGTTGTTGTCAGGGGCGATGACGGCACAGAATCCATTTCGGAGACCCAAAAAACTATGCCAACAATTTTAATGCGAAATTCCGAACGGTGTTGGAGTCGCTTCGCTTCGTTCTGGTTTGTTGTTAGCAACGCACACATCCAGAGAAATTTTGATTAAATTGAAATTTATTTTAATTAAACAAGCGTCGCAAATGTCTCATTTACGCTTCAATGACATGACAAAACAGATGAGCCAAGCCAAGAGTGGGTGTGGATGCCAGAGCGTGGCCTTAATGTTTGCATGTTTTGTGGTCTACTGACAATTTGCGTGGGTTTTCCCCCGCCCTGGGACTTTCCCTGGAATATTTTGGAGTTGGTATACGAAAAATTGTTGCCAACATTTAAGGTTTTCCATTTTTTTCTGTGGGGGATGCTGTGGGCTGTAAGAACAACAACTGCAATTACATATATTAAATGCTCGTCCACCCGAAAGTATGCTAGCCATTTGTGGAAGGATAGTCGTGGGGAAAGGGTTGCGGGAGTAACGCTGTGCAGGGACTACTGCCGTTAGACGGCACATAAGCCGCGCTTAAGTCCAACTAATTAGCCTAAATTTGTTAGCAGGCTACGCAGCCACCTGATAAGTGGGCACCAAACAAGGATCCCGAGAAGGGAATGCAGGGCTTCTGCGACTCGAAGATTGGCTTTCGATTATATAGCTGAAATAGGCCATTTATTTTAATTTCTATTACCATATCCCCCTCAGTTAATATTTAATAAAAAGAAACATAAGCTGGTTACTTTAAAACCCCCTTTAAAGACACTGAAATTCCCCCAAGATTCCCCTTTTACAGGGTACGACCCGTGTGTTGTCATTTCTCAGTCTGCCATAAAGAGTTAACTGTGCCACATTTACCGCTAAGCGGATGCACGACCAGAAAACTTTTCAGGGGCTGCTGCGGGTGGCAGCTGGTAAACTGCAGCAACAGCTCAGATGCTGCTGTTGTTGGTTGCGAGTTGCTAGTTGCTGGTTTGGTGTTGCAAGTGTTGCTGTTGCTAGTTGTTAGTTAGTTGCTGCTGCTGCTGCTGGCTGTACCCCGGCACTTTATTAGCGAGCGGGCCAAAAACAGCACACT